GCCGGACCCGCATCACACATAAAATTACCTCAAAAAATCAAAAAAATTCGAAACACTTTTTCAGGAAAACAATTGAGCAGAATCCTCGTGATCGATTTGCTCGATCTCGTCATCACCAAAACCTTGGTACGCTACATTAATGTTAAAATTGTGTCTATTGTTTCTTTTTAGCTCACCTCGCTTCCGTCCCACTGATCAAAAAGCCGAAATTAGTTGAGAATAATCCTCCAATGAAATAACCTTTTTGAAGCACTAACATCAAATTTAGATGTCCAAAGTTAGATGCAACTAGCAACTAGCTCAAATATGCAATTGGACAGCTCAAAACCAAGAAATTCTAGCTGAAAGTTAGATTGCTAATGGTAAAGTGCTTGAACTGCTGGAGTGCTTGAACTGTGGGAATTGCGGGTTTTACTCTTTTATGATTTGTTGCTAGTGAAAAGGTATGCAATAATTCAATAATTTTTCGCGTTTTAAAAAGCTCTAAAAAGCTAATATTAACCAATTTCTATCCCAAAAGTTGTTTTTCTAGGTAATTTGAGGGTGTCAAATTCAAATTTTGACATAACAGAGCGTGTGGAACCATTTTGAAAGACAAAACGGCTAGCTCAAATTACAGAAAATTGTCGATTTTGCTCTTTCTATAGCTCCGTCCGTTTGTTTCAACAAGCTCCGTTTGTTTCAACAAGCTCCGTTTGTTTCAACAAGCAAATAAGCTTGCAACAATTTTTCCGCCTTTTCTCCAAAAACATTAGTGTTCGAAAAAATTCCATTGTCCTAGTTCTCAAAATTGGAGTTTGGGTCCAATGCGAGCTTTTTCCCTTATCTGGTCCCTACCTGCGCTTTTGCTTTGCATTTTCAATCTTTCTTTTCTTTTTGGTTAATTAATTTGAATACTTCTCTGCATAAATTTATTTGTAAAAAGATCGTTCAAAGACAAAAACGTTTTCTACGCAAACTACCCTAAAGTAGAACTATCCGAAAAAGTGAAACCATTTGATTGTCTGTAACTCGAGTCATAGAAATGAAATCATTCAAGGTTGTTTTATTGAAAATAAAAAATAAAAAACTCCTTGGCTTTTTGAGGAAAAAGAAAAACATATTCAAACGTTGGAAAATTGTAAAGTTTCTAACGCGTACAGGTAGCCTTTTCAGGCAAAAACAATTCAAAGCCAACCATCTTGAGATGGTTATTTGAATAACCATGAGATATATTTGAATGATTGGCTTGAGCCAATCATTCAAATATATCATTCCTAACCGAAACAAGAAATGGCAAATAATTTGAGATTTCTTGAGAATCAAACATTTCTGAGCAAGTTCATCCTACGTATTTATTTGCATTCTGACCAAAATTTCATTAGCATCGAAGTAAAAGAGAAATTATCTTTGTGCAAGAATTACATAGTTTTTACCGAAATACTAGCTAGACTGGTGACTAGCTAGGTGGAGTAGCTAGACTAGCTAGGTTGAGTTCAAAAGCCAAGGATGCCAAAAATGTCAAAGCCACAGAATTACTAATAGACTCATGAAATTAATTACAAAATGGAGCCTTTTTGCAAAGGAAAGCACTCTAAGGTGAGGTGCTAACTAGACTTGCTGAAAACTGAGTTCTACGTTAGGATTTTTAGTTTAAAACTGTGCTAAACTCGCTTTTTCATGGGCCAAAGTGCTGATCAACACAGAAAATAGACCCGTTACAGAAGTCGAGTTTCACTCACTTTATCTTACTGAGTGAAACATTCCAAATCAAGCAAAATCACATTCTAAATCGTGATCTCTTGAACCTTTTAGTTTTTCGCGCACAGGTGCTACCAAACAAAAGGCAGCTAGAAAATTCTCAAAAATTTAAAATCGAAACCTAGTCGAAAAAGGGTTTCCTTTTGAAAAGGGCTTCATTTTTGATAGTTAATAAAAAATCTTGCAAAAATATAGCAGAAATAGGCAAAGTTAAAAATTGCTAGGAGTTATTGATGGTTGACTTTTGATGATGGCGGGATCGATCGGCTCCAATATCTGAAAATATAATAAAATCAATTTCAGTCAAAACTACCTTAATCTTCCGCCAGTTTCTTATTCACGTAGCTCAATTTTGGTGAAACTCGATGAAAGAATCACAAGGTTCGAGTTAATCATAACAAAATTGAGCTAATCAAGTGAAAAATCGTACAGATTAGGGTAGTTTTAGCCAAATTCGAGTAAAAAACACTTTAATATAAACAAAAATATCTTCATTTTCATTCCTTTTTGTTTCAAGGATTTCAAATGAATAGTTTCAAATTAAAACTACTCCTAGCCGAGTCTCGCCTTTTAATTAACACAGATTTTCCTCTTGCCTCTTTACCTGATAGAGTTTCCCCGCTTGTGGAATGTGTTGTTGACGAAGAACAAAGGGCGTCTTTGGGTCGGAGATGGGTTCGAAAGGAGAATTACAGATAAAGAGCCCTTTTTGAACCTTCCTCCTCTCATTTCATCTGTTCGCTAAATCCTTTGGCACACAAACTAAAGCCCCAATTCAGCTATCACTTGAAACCTTTGCCTGATTTAAAATGACCTCTCCTCATCAAGAAGTAGCCTCTCTGATCAAGAAGTAAGCCAACGGTTAAATCAGAAGGCACCAAGTATTTCTTCTTGTCCAAATCGAGATTTTGGGGCCTTCTCGACGATTAGCTTAAATATAAAAAATGAACTTCCCACTAAATTAATTTCGTTCAAGTTTACTCGAACTTTGTAACATCAAGTATTTTTTCAGAGGCCCCTACAGTAGCCTCAACTTCTCAGCAAAGCCTCGATATTAGGTATTTGGGACCTTAGGTGCAACATTGTACCTTGTTTTTGGATTTTTGGGGAGGACCAGACACAACATTTTTCACGGTCATGTACTTTAATTCTACTAGATTGGCTCAGCCAGTTGGGAACTACTAGGGATACTTTAAGAAACAACAAGCAGTTTAGGGTACGTACTGGCTGCTATATAGGGCCTCTACTTTTTTGGTATTGTGTACCGTGCCGGGTTTTCACTCAGGAATCCACAACATTGAAACACGAGCATTTGGTTACTGAATGGACATGATTCGAGCTTGAACAAGGTTGAACATGATTCGAAGCTTGAACAAGCTTGTTCAATGTTCAATGTCCGTGTACTTTCTGCAAATTTTACCCCTCAGCGCGTTGCTTGTCGAAGTTGTTTTCTCCTTTGTGTTGCCACTTCACGTTTGTCGGTTCAGGTTGAATATTTGTATTAGATTTTCTTCTTGTCCTTGTTCTTGTTCTGGTTCATGTTCCTTCTTGTTCTTGCGCTTCTTCTTGTTCTTGCTCTTCTTCTTCTTCTTCTTATTCTTCTTGTTCTTCTTCTTCTTGTTCTTGGTCTTGTTCTTAGCTTAATATTTTGATAGCTTTGTGATTTGATTAAAGCTTTGGGCCCTGTGGTGAAGTGATTAAATGGGATGGAAACGAAGCGTTTCAAGGGTAAATCACTTTGGAATATTGTATTTGGATTTGGATTGTACCTGGACAATCGATGGAGGTATGGATGAATGCGATGATCAATGAAACACAATATTTAATTTCTGAATATTACAGTCTTAAGAAGTCAAGAAGTTGGTTTTAAACAAGGATTTCACCTCGATTTTAGAGGTGATGTTTGATGTCAAACACATCAAACAATCGATTGATGCAGTTCGGTGGGCTGGGAAAGTCCGTTTGCAGGTAAGGAAAGTGTCCGATGGGAAAGTCCGTTTGCAAGTAAGGAAGCGAATTACTGACATATTTAAGTATAAACAAACTCCAAAATACTCAGGAAGACGAGGTGATTTATCGACAAATCCGGAAATACGATGCACACCGGATTATGTGATGGTTCGTTGTAGCAAATCAATTGTCTTAATGTGTCTTAATCAATTCTTTAAGGTGAAAAGCGACAATTAAATTTCATTCAAACAAAATTTAAATTCAAATTTGAATATTCACTTGGTGAGAAAATACGATAATATATTTATATTTTGTTTTATATAGAATACCAAAAAAATTGGAAGGCCTTCAAAGGAAATGACTACAATATTTACACAAAAAAACGTGTGTAAGAAAAGGTGCTCAAATTAAAAGAAAAGGTTCCTAAAAAAGTGCTCAAATTGAAATGTGGCAGGAGAAATAGAGTGAAAATTTGGTTGGAAATTTTGGAGAAGGAAAGTGAAGGTTAAGTTTTTGTTGCTCATCAGTCAATGTTAGCCTTGTTATTGCTCAACTGAATAATCAATCTTTTTCTTACCCCAAAATCCAAAATTGAGGTCAATGCTGCTAAGATTTATATAGCTTAGAACGTCAACTGTCAGAAAATGTCTGTTTCATCAACAGTTATTCAAAAATCTAGCTAAATCGGGCTGCAGAATGGTCAGAAACTCTGTCTCCTCCATAATTGCTCGACCCACCGATAACCGTAAGGATCCAAAATGGCAATTTAGGGGATATTTTGTGGTTCTGCATGACCAAATAAACGTTCCTTTGCCTTGATCCTTTACGAGACCAATTGAAAGCTGTCATTTTTGCGAAAATTTTCTAAAGGACTTTAGGCGATTTGCCGGTTCTGAGTTAGCCAAAGTAGCTAGAGAACATGGATAATTGATTTGTGATATACTGCAATCATTTCGATATCACAAAAAAATAATAGTCGCAATTTGGGAAAACGTTTTTGTCATGCTCGAAAAATAAATACTTAATCATCAAATAATGAAAGAAAAACAATTAACTGAAAATGAAATCATAAAGATTTTCTTATTTTCATCAACACAAAAAACAAGAATTGTACGACGGAATTACGTGGTTTTGAAGGATTTAGGGGTTTTTCATTTGAGGAAGTGTTCCTTTTTCTAGATCACGTTTGGGTCGGTTTTTTGGACGAAAATCGGGTTTTCCCTTTAGTTACATATGTTGAAAGTTTTGGGGAAATGAAGGCGATGAAAATGAATGAATGAGAAGAAAATAATGAAGTGAAAGTCGGATTAATGTGCGCCATGTCCGTAGATCCAATTGACGTCAACCTGTAAATGAAAGATGAAACTTTCCCTTGTAAAATTTTGATATATTTTAAATATTCGAAAGGTTTAGTACTGTTTTCCTGGATTCACCTGCGGTATATCAGCTGTGAGAAAATTCGGTGTTGTGCCGTGTAGTGCTCTGCTTTGAGTATGAATACTTTCGGGTGAAGCAGCCGATCCCCGCGACCCCCCTCGTTCACTTCCCGGTGAGGAATAGCCAGAAATTGAGTCACAAGGAGAGAATGGCTCATATAATCCTAAAATATTTAATTTAGAACTGAGCTGATCTGTTGAAAAATTTAAATTTCTCTACTACTTACTTTTCTTTGCTTCTTCGGCAGCAGCTCCATTCCACGTTCCGATTGTCATTTGAAGAGAATCGGAAAAGAGCGAATTCTCTTGACGAGTCTCCGGAAGTGTAAAGGGCTAATTAAGGTTTTAATATATTACTAGTTTTTACCTGTTCATTGAAGTATCGAGGCTGATTGTGAATGGATGATTGACCTTGAATGGGTCGTGGTGTTGGTAAAAGAGTTGACTCAATTGGAGTACCCAATCCATAACCAGATCTTGATTGAGGCTGAGGCCCAAAGAGAGAATGATTCGAATTCTGAATTAGATAAGAAATAGATTCGACCCAGCTTCTAACTTTGAAGTAGAGATAGAGAAACTAACCCGAACTGGTGGTTGTGGTTGATTGAGTGTGTTAATGTAATTGGTCCATCTAAAATGCAACATTTATTTATTATTTTAGTTTCAAGACTTGTAAAATTATTATATTTATCAGTTTCTTACGTGTTAAGGATTTCTTGCTCCTTTTGCTGTTGTTGTTGAAGAAGTCCTTGTTGTCCTTGCATCAACAGGAGTATTAGCTGTTGATTTGCTACCACGTATTGCTACAAGCTTTCTAATAATTGCGAATTTCAAATTTCTTACAGCAGTCAAATCCAGATCGAAGAAACCCTTGGGCAAACTGGGCAAATTGGACAAACTGACCAAATTTTGATAGATCGTTCGTTGCTCGGAACGGGTTCGCTCTTGGTTTTTCTGAAAGAAAAGCTTTAAATAAATTACAACTAAAGTTAAAAGATATTCAACATTGTCATTTTACCAGCCCATTTTTTACCAGCTCACCGTGAAACACGAATCGCATTTTGTTGTGTGTGGAGTGTTCACTCGATGTCCCCTCAATTCAGCCGGTTCCACAAACTTTCTGGCCTCTTTTTTCCACGCCAGAACTTGCTCTTTTTTGAGCCGCAGTAAATGCCTAGAAATGAATGTTATATTTAATCCTTGATTTACATTTTTATCCTCACAGCATTGCTGAGAATCCTATCATAAGTATTGAGTAACATGAAAAGATATTCATCTTCGAGATCTTCACGAACAGCTTGTAAACCACCACAAAAAACGAGGCAATGCACATGGAATAGGAGACGATAAAGCATACCCGGTAAATTCTGAAAAGGACAAATTATTTAAATTCATTATCGCAGCCAAACCTGATCCTGTATTTTGATACATGGCGTATCAATCGATTTGGAATTTGTCGATCTGTATGGATGAATTGGTGTGCCGAGTGTTTGAAGAAGACACACAATAGCGCAATTCACACACCGTTTCCCAGCACCCATGAATAACATCTGAAACTAAATGATCTAAAAGTAAATGACAAATAAACTCCTACTCTTCTGAATATAACCACTCACTTGTTCGTTTTCACGGAGAATTGCGGGACGTTGAATGAGTTTCTCGATTGACTGAAGAATTTTCTTCCTTGCTCCTTTCGTCACATTTTCCTGCTCCAGAGTGTTTTCGTCTGCAAATATTGTATTGAAAATGCCTGGCTCAACTCTATTTCCATAGAGCCTTATTTTGCGATCTCACACCTCAAATTTCCAACGCTTTCATCTAAACTATCACAATCTTCTACCTGCTCTTCCCTTTCTAATTCATTTTTAAAACGTATCCCCCTTTTCCTTTCTACCGTAATCTTATCTGTCTTTATTTTTAGACAAACAAAACTACTTTCTCTTTCTACCGTAATCTTGTCTGTCTTTTAATCTGTTTTGTTTTTAGATGAAAGGGTTACTTTCTCTTTCTACCTCTTCTACCTCTTTCTATTTTCTACCTTTCTCTATTTTTATCCAATCAATCCACTTTTTATAGCTTTCGATATCCTTTTTTGGGGTAGGCTAGTTTCTGCCGTTTTTTTACGCAACTCACCATAACTTTTTTTCTAAGTCGACCAATCTTTATGACTTTGGTTTCATTTGTAGATCTCAATAAGTGCAACAAAAGGACACCAAAAGCATAAAGATTGATCCACTTAGAAGAAAGTTATGGCAAGCTTACAAAAGATCCTGTTGGGCAAAAAGTTTGGCGCAAAGCAGCCTACCTTTTTGAACACTCATAGAATCAGACGAAAGTAGATGGATTGGATAAAAATATACAAGATTACCGTAGAAATTACGACAAAATGGAGACAAGATTAAGATTACGGTAGAAAAAGAAAATCGATTAGCCGAGTACTTCAAGCTTTTCGTTTTCGTTTTCGTCAAGTGCACATTGCATCATTGCCAAAAAAGGAAAAAGGGAATTTGAATGGCACAAGCAAATTTTAGAACTTTTCAGGATTACATCACTTAAATCAAATTGCTGCATAATTCAAGCTCAAAGATATCCAGAAGATCTCCGTCTCCCAGTCGTGCGTGTTGTGTTGAACCAAAGAACCCCGAAGACCTTCCCAAATTCTTTAGAACTTTGGTATCACAATTTTCTACCTATATTTATGTCTGAATTGAATAACTTATTTCCTCTCTCATTTAAAAGATTCTCTCAATTTCCCCTTTTGGCACAAATTTTATGACTTTTTCATTGGCATCCCCAAATGCACACATAGTTAGAGAAATAAAATAAAGAAAATCACCACCTTTTCTCCTAATTTCTCTAAAACCTTGGAGAAATTCTAGGCTGATACCATTGAAAAAGCAAATTGAGCTACAGTAAGATTGGGAAAAAACTAAGTGATTTTAAGGAGATGAAAAGGATTTTTATAAAATTTAAGCAAAACAAACCGAGACTCATCATTTGATCGTATGTCATTTCTTGGAAAAGAGCCGTGTATTTGTGAAGGCGAAGAGATTTTAACCAAGGTTCCACATCTAAAGTTAAGGCTATAATTTTAGCTGTGTTTTGCCAGTTTTTCCATTTCTATTTTCTATTCCTATTTTCTATTTCTTCTAGACTTTCTTCCCGTTTTTCCATTGAGCTTTTTTCTGCAATCACATCATTTCACTTTTCTATAAAAGTCCCCTATCGGATTAACTCGAGTAAACCAGTTGCTTTGACAATGAGTCAAGCTAACAACTTAAAAATGAGTTTGAGAGGTAGTGAACCAAGAACGTGAACATCCAAAAAACATAACTCAATCAATATGAAGTGTCGAAATCTTCCATTGAATATCTTCTAGACAGACACCTAGACATCGTTTCGTTTTGGCTGGGTGCAAGTGTGAGTTGACAGAGATCAAATCGGAGATTGCAAATCCGTTCAAGAGATCTGATCAAAAAGGAGAAGTTGAGAAATGGAAAAAATAATAGGTTGACTAAAACAGATTGTTGATCAAAAAGAGCTGCTAGTATTGCTTTTAGTACTACGAACAATCAACTGATCTTCATGGTTGATGCTAGATAGAAAGCAAAACTTCACTTCTTAAAGCTTCTTAAAAAGATTCTATAATGTACTAAAAGATTCGCATTCCCAGCTAATGGTGATCTTTTTGATCGAGAGTCGGATAGAGACTGGTCCAATCATCCAATCATCATTTTGTCCCCCTTTTCCCCTTTCTTTTACCTAAAAGATTTCTTCCAGACAATAATGTTTTCTTTTGCCCTTTTTGCCTGAATATCTTAAAATCTTAGAAATGGCAGACAAGACCACTCGGCGGAAAAATGAAAAAATGGATGATCTTCGAGGTTCATGTTACGATTTATTGTAAATATTTATTTCGATGAAGACTAATGCAAATGTTTGCTTCAGCTCAAATTCCTTGTAAACATATTTTTTCCAAAAATTTCAATTTTCTGAGGGACCTCGAAATGATGGGTGGCACAAAGAGACGCCAAGAAGGTAACATTTCCTATTCTCTGATCTCGGCTTGGACTTGTCGCCTATTTGAAGCTGTAATATAAAAGAAAAAAGGAGAAAGAGAGCGACTCGCAATGATTTCCGCCTTATTCTTCGGCAGCGTAGAAATGTTGCAAGACGGCCGAACGCAGCGAGACGGCTCCATCCAAAAAATGACGACAAAAAATTTAAGGCAAAAAACGCGGCGGAAAGTGATTAGCATACTGAAGATACATGGCAAAACGTTATTGTTAAAAATAAGTAATTTTTTGGGTATAATCCGGTGGGTCAATTCCCATGCCAGTTTAGAATGATTGAGTCCGCCTAACCTTATGTATGTTGAACTAAGTTCAGAACCTTCTTGATCACAGTGCACTCTTCTAAAATTAACTCCAGCCGATCCTACTTGATCGGTGAAAGAGGAAATGCATCTCTCCAAACCGTTTTCTTTTCCGCTCCTAATCGGTCACTTATCGCTTTCTTTTCCCTCGTTTCATTTTTCTTTTTCAATCCATGTGATGCAATCCTTGTCTTTCAGTCTTTTCTTTTCCTTCGATCGGCCCATGTCTAGTCTGAGCTGTGTCTGGGAAAAACGAGTCGACCAGACTGCACCTATTCACTTCTTTTCTTCTTCGACCCTTCTCTCGATCTCGATGAGGGGAATTCAACCATCGCATCGAAACCCTCAATCTCTAGACAGTTCTAGTTGAAAAGAGAGCAAAAAATAATAAAGTTTACAGGGATTCACCAGCCAAGGGGAAAGAGAAGAAGGGGAAAAGTGGAAAGTTCCTCTTTCACATCTTGGCAAACTGCTCGCAGAGATCGGCATCTCCAAAAAAGAGAGAAGTTGCGAATCATGCTAGGGTGAAAACTCCAAAAAACAGAACGCCAAAGCACAACGATGAAATCGATCACAAAAGGGGTCAAGGCGATGTGAGAAGAAAACAATAATATTTGCTCTCGACAAATTGCAGTTTTGTTTTCCTTCCACAAAATCTTATTTTCTTACTAACAGTATTTTCTTACCTACCCAGGTTTACAGTAAAACAAATTATTCACATATTTTACTTTATTTTAAATGCAAATCCCTTCCTTTTGGTAACTCCACTCCAAAAACATTCACTTTTTTCTAAACGAATAGCTGACTTATGGTCGGCGCCAGCTTATCAGAAAACACAATTTGGGCTGTTTGTGAGGACTCTTCTACTCTGATCTTTTTTCAAGCTTTCAAAAATTATTGCCCTTTTTAAATCACCGCGTTCTCTTTGAAGATTTAGCAGTTAGAGCAGGCAAAAAACAGTAAAAAGTTTTTTCTGAAGAATTTCTGAAGATAAGACTAATCCGAATAGTGTCGAGTAAAGAATCAAAGAAAAGCGAACCTCTCATTCCAAGTGTCGACATTGAATCGCTTCCAGGAAACGGTGGGATTACCTAATTTTAAGAGCTAAGTATTTAGGAAATGAAAATATGTATTTAAAAGCTGTAATCAAAACTGCAATTAAAGAGCTGTAATGACTCTAATTAAAGAATGAACTCACCTCGTGAAAAATAGTACGATGTGGAAGAGTCAAAGCAAAGTTTAGATTCGAGAGTTTTGGGACGACACGAGAGAATCGGTACTCGTCGGTGACTCGATTTACACCATTCGTGAAGCTTGAGCCCTGAAATCAATACATATTTTCCGTATTTATGCCTCATTGAATCCATTTTCATCAAGGGTCAAAAACCTATTCTCACCGTTTCCCGTGTAGACTTTATGATGTGGACACACTTTTTAGACACATTTTTACATTCTACGCTTATTGTTCACTGAGGACGAGAGGGGAGAGAGGAAAAAGAGAGGGGATGAACCTAGTGGAAGCCTCTCGTCCACCCAATTTCCCCGTTCATTCAAAGCCCCAAACAACCAGGGATGGTTTAATTATGCAAATGGAATTCCGAGGTGCCGAATGATTGGTTTTCGTGAATACCTCGAATGAGATACTCGATTTATGACAAAATCTAATCAAAAAGACTTACTTGATTGATTCGTGGACGTGGTGGGGGCAACATTTGAGCTTGTTGAGCACAAGTTTTTCTCGACACTGGTTTATGCTAAAATTTAGTCAGGTCAGGTCCCCATAGTCAAAACCCATCGATTGACAAAGGGAAAGGCAAAGGGAGCAGCCTCTGTTTTTCCCATAATAAGCTTGACCTCAGGCGGCGCATTCAACAAACTTTTCCTTATCATTCAAAGACGGCACCCCCGTCCCACAGAATTTCCCGGATATCAGTCAAGGCTTCTACATTGAGGAAAAAGCCTCTTTCGGGACGGATGAGACGCGGCTCATTTTACGGCCGCCTCCTCCTCTTATTTCTCTCACCAAATAAGGTCAAAAGTGCTACCGGAGGCTGGTACTAAACTGGAAAAAGAGATTAAAAATCCGAAGCACATTCTTTAAAATCATCTAATAGTGGCGTCTGGGGGTGGGAAATGACGCGAGTAACGATCCAGGTTTTAAAATTTGATGACGAGGCAAAACTTCTAAAAACCCAAATCGCTGAAATGAATGAACATAATGAACATATAGTCGGATTTTCAGATTTTCCCAAGAAAGATTTTCCCATCAATATGGATCCAAATAGTCATGGTTATAGGTTTTAGAGTAAAAGAAAAATGACTCAGGGCTTTTTAGAGTAAAAAGAAAAGAAAAACCATGGATGAAAAACTATGAAGAGAAAGTATGGATGGACATAAGGATTCTCTTTAGGCTGTAGGGGCAAAAGGTGATCACAAAAACTTGCGGAATGTAAAAGAAAAGAAAAAGAAAGGAATAGACAATGATGGGGAAAGTAAAAATAGAACAATCGGTGAAAGAGAATCGGTGGTGGATGATCGGGAATAATAATTGGGGAGGGGAAAGCAAGTAGAAGCGTGAGAAATCATGGTAAAGCTTTTTGGGGAGAGAATATTAGTTTCAGGATGAATTCTTGAAGAAAATTAGAAAGGAAACAAAATTGGCAAATATTTCTAACTGTAAGCCACCGAGAGACTAGGGAATGTCTTTGTTTCGAGTTATTGACCATTTCTATGCGGATTGATTCAAAATATTCCGTTGAATGAGCTGAAAGCTTTAAAAACTTCCCCATTTATGGACAAGTCGTTCAATTTTTGTTTTGTTTCTCTTAATTTCGGTTTTTGGCCGATTTTTCTTGTGGACTTGTGATTCACCTTCACCACAAATTCCTTCATTTCCCTCCCTTACCCCCGTTTTCTTTCAGTCTTCGAAGACTGAAAGATTCTGAAGGAAATCGAGAGAAAAACACAAAAAGTTGATTGGAACCATCTCCTTGGAGAGTTTTTTGAAAAAGACAGCTTTGTCAGCTCCAAAAACTCAACAATAAAAGAGAAACAATATTTTAAAGAGACATAAAAAGGAGTAACGGCAAAAATGGTGTAAAACATTGTAAAACAATTCGTCTAAAAATATCTTGACATTTATTTTAAAAAAAGTGCATTTCGAATTTGAGGCGATTCTCATCATTTTCTTTTCTCATTTCCCCAAAGTGGACCACCGGCTATGAAACAATTGTTCGAAAATGATTGTAATTGAGACGAGAAAAGGGAAAGCTTAAGAGAAAAGGGTGGCTTAGAGAAAGAAATGGCCAACTGACCCATGTCTGTCAAAAAGAAAGTAAAGTGAATATCCAGATGGAAAGGAAAATTGAGTCAAAAAAGTACCGGAAAAGATGGGAAAAGAATGGGAAAGAATGGGAAGGATTCCCTCCAGTCACATCCAAAAGAACACCAAGAATTCAATGAAATCTTAATTGATGAAAGACAATCTGCTGTGCGAAGAGAAGAAAAAAGAGAAAATGGGTTGTTGGGACACAAAGTCTCAATGAAGATAGGGGTTAAACCAAATGAAAATGAAGGGAAGATAGAGATTGATGGATTTGAGTGAATCATAACTTCTCTCTAATAGTAGCGCGCACTACTATTTTTTCAACCCGCTCCTGGACCGCAATTAGAGAGTGCAATACTATTAAAGAGTTTTATCAATTGCCAAAGTAAGACAGATATAAGATTTGTTGACATTAGCGAGTTGACAATTTGTGTCTTGACATGAATAAGTTTAGCCATCCCTCCGATGCCGAAAATTCCTCGTCATCTTTCCTTGGCTTGGCATTGAATCATTTTTCGTGTCACTCGCATCTTCTTTGCCCGCATTTTTTGAATCCAAGTAACAAGATCCTTGTCAAAATCGAAATCCTTCGTTTCTTTCCTTTTCCTGATTCGTTTCTTTCCTTTTCCGTTATCTCCGTTTTGTTTCTCGAGTTCTTCCTTTTGACGACTGACTCCAAATTTTCGCGCTGCAACCGACTTATCCTTTATTTTTTTCCGCAAGAGCAATCGCTTTCAGCTTTGTTTGAATGTCGAAACATCGCTTTCTCGCCGATGGTGCATCCGCTTCACACGAAGACTCCTGGGCGACATCCTTGGTCATGTTGTAGCCAGCATTTTGCTCGGTCACTTGATTGTCGATCCTCTCTTTCCACATGTTCCTCGTGTTCACGACGAGCTCGAAAGTTTTCGAATCCATCAAGCGAATTTCCATCGAGATCCATACCTAAAGAAAAAGATTATTCAGACAATAGTAAGGTGACCAACAAAAATTATATAATATTAAAGTCGAACATGATGGATTATTTTCTAGGATTGAGCTTTGATAACAATAAAGTTAAGCGCCACAAAAGGTAAGTCAATCTCAAACTTTATACAGGTATATAAGAGCAAAAAATAACTATAGCTGCTTGAGTTAATGTGCCACTAAAACAACGTGTGGGAACAAAAAAAGATGCTTAGGCACTTTGCACAACAATTTCAGTTTTTTGCTAGCTTTTTCAGGTGAAGAATAGTTCACAAATGAATAAAAAAGCCACACAGTTGCTTGCTTGGATAGAATGTCACATAAACATAAAGATATTCAGTCAAAAAGGTTTAGATCAAAAAGAGGCGCTATAAATCCAACTTTTCAAGGGTGCACTACTATTTCAATTTTCAATTCAAAAAAATTGAATCTCGAAATCTCGACAGATGATTCTGAACGTTCCAAAAAGCAGTAAAAGTTTAACATTTCTTGAAAGCTAAACAACAAAGTATTGTACTTACTTGACACTTTTCAGTGCTTTTTCGATGTCTTTAACCGATGCAGATGTGATGCATACCACCACTCTTATTCTTGTTCAAGAAAGCCTAAAGAAAAAATAGTGTTGACTTTTCAGTCAGCCAACCTGAATAGGACTCTTATCACCCAGCGGCAACAAAAGTTCAAGTTTTGTGTCGGGCGGCAGCTCAACGAAAACCGTGTAGACCCCATGTTCTGGTAGTGGCTAAACAATTTGTGGAGGTTGAAATGAAATAAAATGAAATATACCACAGTCGCGCTGACTTTCGCGTCAAGATCTTTGTAGAATTTCGCAGTTTTCTCCAAATCGCCTGTGGCAACTGCGACGTGATTGAGACGCCCAAGTAGGCCAGCCAATGGATGTGATGTGAAAATAATAAAATGCCATTTTTTCTTTAAGTTACCTTTCTGGCTGCCAGCGAAACATGCCCCTTGATGCTAATGAGCCGCGGCAGAAGCTCCTTTCTAAATTTATAGGCTCGTAAGTTTTCTGATTCAGGCAAAAATTCCAAAAATTCCAGAATCCAGTTAAAAACCTTTCCTGATGCTAGAATCCAGTTAAAAATCTTTCCTGATGTTAGAACTCAAACCTCAAACCCTGCCATGCCCTTTTCCGCACCGGTCGTCCCCTAATGTCGAGAAATGGCGAGAATCAAGTCGAGCATTCCATGTTCCCTAAAAGTTTCGTTCATATTTTTTATTAAAAACAACAAACACCTAACTTTTTTGCTCAAAATCAGCTGTTTGTTTCCTTAGAATCAATTAAAATTTTGAGGGAATCAGTAAAAGAAAATGGGCGAAAGAAAGTTCTGATAAAAGTGCACTTTCGAAAGCGGGTTTTCTCTTTTCAATGGACGCGAAAAATGCCCAAAAAATTTTTACCTGGTTGTGCCTTCTTATATTTTTCTGAAATTTTTAATGAAAGATGTCCTGGCTCGATTTTTCAATAGAGTAAATCCCGCTGATTCTGTAAATGAAAATTATCGTCTTTTCCAAATCCTTGATCCTCTAGCATTGCCAAGTCGACAAGAACTTCTCCAACTATTCGATGAGCATCCCATTTGGTCAGCAATTGACATATGTTTCAGTTCAATAAATCTTTTAATAGTTTTGTAAGCATAAAAAACAACAAAGCATAAGCTTTTGTAAGCATACAAAAGTTCTTCATTTACCGTATTCTCTCTAATAGTATTGCACTCTCTAATAGTATTGCACTCTCTAATAGTATTGCACTCTCTAATAGTATTGCACTCTCTAATAGTATTGCACTCTCTAATAGTATTGCGGTCCGAGAGGGGGTTGAAATAGTAGTGCACCCTTGAAAAGTTGGATTTATAGCGCCTCTTTTTGATCTAAACCTTTTTGACTGAATATCTTTATGTTTATGTGACATTCTATCCAAGCAAGCAACTGTGTGGCTTTTTTATTCATTTGTGAACTATTCTTCACCTGAAAAAGCTAGCAAAATACTGAAATTGTTGTGCAAAGTGCCTAAGCATCTTTTTTTGTTCCCACACGTTGTTTTAGTGGCACATTAACTCAAGCTATAGCTATAGTTATTTTTTGCTCTTATATACCTGTATAAGTTTGAGATTGACTTACCTTTTGTGGCGCTTAACTTTATTGTTATCAAAGCTCAATCCTAGAAAATAATCCATCATGTTCGACTTTAATATTATATAATTTTTGTTGGTCACCTTACTATTGTCTGAATAATCTTTTTCTTTAGGTATGGATCTCGATGGAAATTCGCTTGATGGATTCGAAAACTTTCGAGCTCGTCGTGAACACGAGGAACATGTGGAAAGAGAGGATCGACAATCAAGTGACCGAGCAAAATGCTGGCTACAACATGACCAAGGATGTCGCCCAGGAGTCTTCGTGTGAAGCGGATGCACCATCGGCGAGAAAGCGATGTTTCGACATTACAATACTTTGTTGTTTAGCTTTCAAGAAATGTTAAACTTTTACTGCTTTTTGGAACGTTCAGAATCATCTGTCGAGATTTCGAGATTCAATTTTTTGAATTGAAAATTGAAATAGTAGTGCACCCTTGAAAAGTTGGATTTATAGCGCCTCTTTTTGATCTAAACCTTTTTGACTGAATATCTTTATGTTTATGTGACATTCTATCCAAGCAAGCCACTGTGTGGCTTTTTTATTCATTTGTGAACTATTCTTCACCTGAAAAAGCTAGCAAAAAACTGAAATTGTTGTGCAAAGTGCCTAAGCATCTTTTTTTGTTCCCACACGTTGTTTTAGTGGCACATTAACTCAAGCAGCTATAGTTATTTTTTGCTCTTATATACCTGTATAAAGTTTGAGATTGACTTACCTTTTGTGGCGCTTAACTTTATTGTTATCAAAGCTCAATCCTAGAAAATAATCCATCATGTTCGACTTTAATATTATATAATTTTTGTTGGTCACCTTACTATTGTCTGAATAATCTTTTTCTTTAGGTATGGATCTCGATGGAAATTCGCTTGATGGATTCGAAAACTTTCGAGCTCGTCGTGAACACGAGGAACATGTGGAAAGAGAGGATCGACAATCAAGTGACCGAGCAAAATGCTGGCTACAACATGACCAAGGATGTCGCCCAGGAGTCTTCGTGTGAAGCGGATGCACCATCGGCGAGAAAGCGATGTTTCGACATTCAAACAAAGCTGAAAGCGATTGCTCTTGCGGAAAAAATAAAGGATAAGTCGGTTGCAGCGCGAAAATTTGGAGTCAGTCGTCAAAAGGAAGAACTCGAGAAACAAAACGGAGATAACGGAAAAGGAAAGAAACGAATCAGGAAAAGGAAAGAAACGAAGGATTTCGATTTTGACAAGGATCTTGTTACTTGGATTCAAAAAATGCGGGCAAAGAAGATGCGAGTGACACGAAAAATGATTCAATGCCAAGCCAAGGAAAGATGACGAGGAATTTTCGGCATCGGAGGGATGGCTAAACTTATTCATGTCAAGACACAAATTGTCAACCAGCTAATGTCAACAAATCTTATATCTGTCTTACTTTGGCAATTGATAAAACTCTTTAATAGTATTGCACTCTCTAATTGCGGTCCAGGAGCGGGTTGAAAAAATAGTAGTGCGCGCTACTATTAGAGAGAAGTTATGATTCACTCAAATCCATCAATCTCTATCTTCCCTTCATTTTCATTTGGTTTAACCCCTATCTTCATTGAGACTTTGTGTCCCAACAACCCATTTTCTCTTTTTTTCTTCTCTTCGCACAGCAGATTGTCTTTCATCAATTAAGATTTCATTGAATTCTTGGTGTTCTTTTTGGATGTGACTGGAGGGAATCCTTCCCATTCTTTCCCATTCTTTTCCCATCTTTTCCGGTCCTTTTTTGACTCAATTTTCCTTTCCATCTGGATATTCACTTTACTTTCTTTTGACAGACATGGGTCAGTTGGCCATTTCTTTCTCTAAGCCACCCTTTCTCTTAAGCTTTCCCTTTTCTCGTCTCAATTACAATCATTTTCGAACAATTGTTTCATAGCCGGTGGTCCACTTTGGGGAAATGAGAAAAGAAAATGATGAGAATCGCCTCAAATTCGAAATGCACTTTTTTTAAAATAAATGTCAAGATATTTTTAGACGAATTGTTTTACAATGTTTTACACCATTTTTGCCGTTACTCCTTTTTATGTCTCTTTAAAATATTGTTTCTCTTTTATTGTTGAGTTTTTGGAGCTGACAAAGCTGTCTTTTTCAAAAACTCTCCAAGGAGATGGTTCCAATCAACTTTTTGTGTTTTTCTCTCGATTTCCTTCAGAATCTTTCAGTCTTCGAAGACTGAAAGAAAACGGGGTAAGGGAGGGAAATGAAGGAATTTGTGGTGAAGGTGAATCACAAGTCCACAAGAAAAATCGGCCAAAAACCGAAATTAAGAGAAACAAAACAAAAATTGAACGACTTGTCCATAAATGGGGAAGTTTTTAAAGCTTTCAGCTCATTCAACGGAATATTTTGAATCAATCCGCATAGAAATGGTCAATAACTCGAAACAAAGACATTCCCTAGTCTCTCGGTGGCTTACAGTTAGAAATATTTGCCAATTTTGTTTCCTTTCTAATTTTCTTCAAGAATTCATCCTGAAACTAATATTCTCTCCCAAAAAGCTTTACTATGATTTCTCACGCTTCTACTTGCTTTCCCTCCCCAATTATTATTCCCGATCATCCACCACCGATTCTCTTTCACCGATTGTTCTATTTTTTACTTTCCCCATCATTGTCTATTCCTTTCTTTTTCTTTTCTTTTACATTCCGCAAGTTTTTGTGATCACCTTTTGCCCTACAGCCTAAAGAGAATCCTTATGTCCATCCATACTTTCTCTTCATAGTTTTTCATCCATGGTTTTTCTTTTCTTTTTTACTCTAAAAAGCCCCGAGTCATTTTTCTTTTACTCTAAAACCTATAACCATGACTATTTGGATCCATATTGATGGGAAAATCTTTCTTGGGAAAATCTGAAAATCCGACTATATGTTCATTATGTTCATTCATTTCAGCGATTTGGGTTTTTAGAAGTTTTGCCTCGTCATCAAATTTTAAAACCTGGATCGTTACTCGCGTCATTTCCCACCCCCAGACGCCACTATTAGATGATTTTAAAGAATGTGCTTCGGATTTTTAATCTCTTTTTCCAGTTTAGTACCAGCCTCCGGTAGCACTTTTGACCTTATTTGGTGAGAGAAATAAGAGGAGGAGGCGGCCGTAAAAATGAGCCGCGTCTCATCCGTCCCGAAAGAGGCTTTTTCCTCAATGTAGAAGCCTTGACTGATATCCGGGAAATTCTGTGGGACGGGGGTGCCGTCTTTGAATGATAAGGAAAAGTTTGTTGAATGCGCCGCCTGAGGTCAAGCTTATTATGGGAAAAACAGAGGCTGCTCCCTTTGCCTTTCCCTTTGTCAATCGATGGGTTTTGACTATGGGGACCTGACCTGACTAAATTTTAGCATAAACCAGTGTCGAGAAAAACTAATTCAAATTCAAACCGATCTCTATAGAGTTTCAGAAACATGGGGCGAGATAGATCGAAATTAGGTTTGATTTGGCTAGCTAAAGACGACGAGGTTACGATAGCTTTTTGCGCCCATGGTTTTGAACCAGTTTTGCTTTAGTGCTACTTCAACAAATTTTCGCTTTTTTGGGCTTTTGAATTCGCATTTAGATCCTGCAAACATTCTTTAGTTTTGTTTCTAAATCGTTTCTAAGGTTGTGTTAGAAACTGTAGACTTTTTCGGTCCTACAAACAGTCCTAAAGACATGAACAATATTTATCAAAGAGCAAACCATGCTTTTTTAAATTTTTTTAAATTAGGCACGCATTGCCTAGCTTGATAACGGCTATGAGTTAACTATCTTTATTATAGGGACTTTTGAGGTCATTTGGGGAAGAAATGATGTACTCGAAGAGTCGGGTTAATTTCCCATGTAGGAAATATTTGCTCTTTTTCTGTGGTTGAGATTTGTGACGAAGATTAGCACTAGGCACTCAAAGAGGCAAAAAAACACATAAGTAAACTTGTAAATGAACTTTGTTTTCAAACAAAAACTTAGAGTGCTAAGAGGGTCTGCGTCTAATAATAGAGGTTCAATTCGTCAACATTCAACGCAAATTTGTAGTGTCCTTTAAAAAGTTCGCGCATTCACTCACTCCTTGCACTATTCACTTATCTCCCCCTCACAAACACACGCTTTCTAATGAAATTGTTGTCTCGGGCACTTTTCCCAAAAAGATGTTCCTGTGTCTAAAAGTTGTGGAACGGTAAATTGCGTGCCGACCACTGGGAAAGCGTTTTTCTAACTTCCCGCCTCAAACGTCCGGTTTTTCAATGGTGATTTTCAAGGGTTCCCATGGGTAAACATTCCCATGGATGCACTTTCAAATCTATAAATGATTCATAAAAAGATATTTTCTTAAAGAATAAAGAACGTAAAGAGAAGATGGTCCGTATTTTCCCACCATTTCTTTTCCATTCCCATCAATGGTTAGAACTCTTTTCAGCTAACGGTTGAAATATATTTTCCTTTTTGTTGTCACTTTTTGACTTGGTTTTGTGAATTGAACGTTAAAAGACAATAAGAATAACAGTAGAATGAGTAATAAAGCCAGCGATATTTCCGAGGCAACTCTAGAGAACCACGCTTTACAAAAGATGGCCGGATATCCATATAGGTGCAGCCAGTTGAAGGACTCAGAAAGGATTTGTTCAGTTCAATAATATTCAGTCTTTGCAGAGGTCACTTCTACTAATCCTTTTCTCTTTTTCATTTCACTCATTCATTTCTTTTCTCTCAAGTTTCCGTCTTTTCCTCCTCAATTTTTATATACTCACACTTTGATCATACTAATCATACTCATTTTTGACCGCACTTTGCTATTTTGGACTCTTATTTGCCTTTTAGATCACTTGATCATTTTATGAGAATTCTCTTGATTTTTTCCTGAAAACGGATCACCTTGAAACGGAAGAGACACCTAGAGCTCTTTGATCGTTTCGCTCTTCGCTCTTCGTTCGCTCTTTCATAATCACACTGTCCCTTTCGTTGCTTCTGTTCGCAATTTTTAACTTGGAAAAGTTGATAAGCCTTCTTTCCAAGATCTGAACCAGACAATATTAATTTCATTCTTCAAAATTTTGCTTGTTGAAACGCTTTCAGAAAAGCAGACCACTAGACAAAGGGGTCGATCACCGTTTTGATGTGCTGAATTGCCTGATGCTGAATTTGGTCGGAGGGAAGCATCTTGCTGGCTTTTATGTTGCCCGTTTGCTAGATGGGGCGGAGCTTGTTTCCGACCAAATTTAGGCAATTCAGCACATAAAACTTTTGCCGGTAGGTGGTCAATCAGCCTAGTCGGAGAGGAGGGAAGCCAAGAAAAGGGAAGAAGAGGAGAGGGAGACCCCTTGATAGTCTCCCTATGCCGGTCTCCCTTTCTCCTCCTCTTTTTCCTCCGTGTGCCCGCTCTCTTCTTCTTTGAATGGTTTGCCAAGAAAAGGGAAGAAGAGGAGAGGGAGACCCCTTGATAGTCTCCCTATGCCGGTCTCCCTTTCTCCTCCTCTTTTTCCTCCGTGTGCCCGCTCTCTTCTTCTTTGAATGGTTTGCCAAGAAAAGGGAAGAAGAGGAGAGGGAGACCCCTTGATAGTCTCCCTATGCCGGTCTCCCTTTCTCCTCCTCTTTTCCTCCGTGTGCCCGCTCTCTTCTTCATTGCCAGTCCCTCAGCTCCTCTCCTTTGCTCAAAAGACCCCTTCTCTTTTTTCTTGCAGAATCAAAAGTATGGGGAAGCCATCCTTCCAAGCGCACACGTCTGATTTTCCCATGATCGCTATTACTTCCATGAACTTTTCTCCACTGATATAATTTTCTTTACTGTTAACGTTTACTTTTTCTTTTTATTTATTTGTTTTAGTTTCGTTTGGTCTTTGCGAGCGAGGCTATATTGTTTTCGACTTTCTGCTTTGAAAGCTCCGATAGTCAGTTCTGCTCTAAAAGCCCCGATATTTTTGTTTAAATGCCGATCTTTAGTTTATTGAATTATTCATCAATGTCTTTTTGATTTATTTTCCATCTTTCCTCTGCTTTATCTGTATATATCTGTAGTGGGGTAGATGACCACCAAGCTAGAGTGAAAAAGTTTTCTTTCAATGGGAATATCCTTTATTCTAGTGGGTCATTCATCGTTTCAATTCTTTGTTTTTAAGGGGTCCAAGGCGGGCAGAGTTCTAAGCCAGTTGCGCGCGAAATTGGGCCATCTCCCCTCCCTCAGAGTGCCAAAGGAAAAAAAACGTGTTTGACTACGAGAAAAACCCTTCACTCTTCATCCACAATAGTATTTAACCTTATTCATTTTCAATGAGCCCGACAAGAGCAAAAACAAGAACTTCTTTTCCAAAATGAGAGTGGTATTTTTGCAGTTAAATGAGAATTTTTGAGAATTTCGCAAACTGATCGAATTACGGGCATCGGTCAAGAAAAAGGGCTAGCTTTATATGTTGATTCGAATCGGTCCAAAACTTGCGGGAAATCCCTCAACCCAAACCGATAATGTTTTCCTTACAAGAAATACTATTTTTTCGTCACTAACCCCTTGATGCCTCAATTTTGATGATTCTTTGTTTACTTTAATGAAGTTAGAGTCATGCAAAAAAATTTCATCTTCGCAACTGTTATTCTTTGAAAAGAGATTTCTAAATGGTAGCTTTCCAGTTTTGTCTCTTTATTGGATGTGAGACGGGAAAAAGATGTTCAGCAGGTGTTAATTTAGAAAAATGAGAAGAAGTTGATGGAGAAAAATAAAGGAAAATGGGGAGAGTAGGAAGTAGAGGAGGAATCACGTCCCATCTGTCGATGTATTCATATGATTCGCTTTAAATTCTTGAAACGGGAACACCTTTTGGCCAAAAAAAGGGAGAAATCAGACAAACCATCGTGATCGGATTTATCACGAAGATATTGAATTTCCTAAGTGGCTAGCGCCACTGATCGAAGAGTTCATTTATATCCTCTACTCGGTCCCCAATCTCCAAATACGACAATCTCCTCAAAATTCCTTATTTCTTTTTCAATCCCATCTTTTCCTTTTTTCTAGAGAAATCATCGTCCTCCCCGGGTCTGCATTTTGTGGCGCTTTTTTGATAGTTTTTCACGATTTTTTGACGGTGGCCTCGGCAAACGGGTAAAGACAAAAGAGGGCAATGAGAAGAAAAAGAGAAAGTCTTTTATTAATAAGCGCAACGGACCAGTCAGGAATCACCGTTTGGGAGAGAAGGAGTCAGTCTACAGCATTTCCAGCCATTCACAAACAATTATTGTTTTGAAGTTTAAGCCCAGGATTCAAAGCCATTTTGAAAGCAATTAAATTCCGTCTAAAATCATATTTTGGGTGACACCCAAAATTGATTAATTAAAAAGGGCTTCTAAATGTTGGTCTATCTCCAAAATCTTCATCATTTCTCATGATTTATATCGCTTTACTTTTGATGAAAACTTTTGACTCGGGAGAAAGAATTTAAATCAGAGATCATTGAGTTTATTTTTCAGATGCACGTGAGGAGACAATGCCAATGAAAGGAAATCACGACGATTCACGACTCATTGAAAGGTTCAATTTCAATTTGAGGTTTGTACTTTTGAAACTTTTGAAAAGGGAAAATGATAGTCACAATGAACTTTTTATGAATTTTTAAATGAAAAGTTACTAAAACTTGGGGATTCTTTAGAACTGGAAAGGAAAATGATTAGAACTTACTGATTTTTTGATTTTTGCTTTGGTTTGTTTCGCTTCAAGGAGTATAAGCTACAGTAATTTGCTGGCTTAAACATTCACGCGTTTAACAGTAACCTTCTCGATATTTCAGACCAGCAATGGCTTCTCTGGCATCATTAATCCAAGATCCCTCCGGGTCTCTCCCAAACCTTCTTCCGACCAAAGTGCCAACTTATCCTCAACAAGCTCAAATGTTGCCCCCACCACGTCCACGAATCAATCAAGTAAGTCTTTTTGATTAGATTTTGTCATAAATCGAGTATCTCATTCGAGGTATTCTCGAAAACCAATCATTCGGCACCTCGGAATTCCATTTGCATAATTAAACCATCCCTGGTTGTTTGGGGCTTTGAATGAACGGGGAAATTGGGTGGACGAGAGGCTTCCACTAGGTTCATCCCCTCTCTTTTCCTCTCTCCCCTCTCGTATGTGAATAATTGTGAATAATTTGTTTTACTGTAAACCTGGGTAGGTAAGAAAATACTGTTAGTAAGAAAATAAGATTTTGTGGAAGGAAAACAAAACTGCAATTTGTCGAGAGCAAATATTATTGTTTTCTTCTCACATCGCCTTGACCCCTTTTGTGATCGATTTCATCGTTGTGCTTTGGCGTTCTGTTTTTTGGAGTTTTCACCCTAGCATGATTCGCAACTTCTCTCTTTTTTGGAGATGCCGATCTCTGCGAGCAGTTTGCCAAGATGTGAAAGAGGAACTTTCCACTTTTCCCTTCTTCTCTTTCCCCTTGGCTGGTGAATCCCTGTAAACTTTATTATTTTTTGCTCTCTTTTCAACTAGAACTGTCTAGAGATTGAGGGTTTCGATGCGATGGTTGAATTCCCCTCATCGAGATCGAGAGAAGGGTCGAAGAAGAAAAGAAGTGAATAGGTGCAGTCTGGTCGACTCGTTTTTCCCAGACACAGCTCAGACTAGACATGGGCCGATCGAAGGAAAAGAAAAGACTGAAAGACAAGGATTGCATCACATGGATTGAAAAAGAAAAATGAAACGAGGGAAAAGAAAGCGATAAGTGACCGATTAGGAGCGGAAAAGAAAACGGTTTGGAGAGATGCATTTCCTCTTTCACCGATCAAGTAGGATCGGCTGGAGTTAATTTTAGAAGAGTGCACTGTGATCAAGAAGGTTCTGAACTTAGTTCAACATACATAAGGTTAGGCGGACTCAATCATTCTAAACTGGCATGGGAATTGACCCACCGGATTATACCCAAAAATTACTTATTTTTAACAATAACGTTTTGCCATGTATCTTCAGTATGCTAATCACTTTCCGCCGCGTTTTTTGCCTTAAATTTTTTGTCGTCATTTTTTGGATGGAGCCGTCTCGCTGCGTTCGGCCGTCTTGCAACATTTCTACGCTGCCGAAGAATAAGGCGGAAATCATTGCGAGTCGCTCTCTTTCTCCTTTTTTCTTTTATATTACAGCTTCAAATAGGCGACAAGTCAAGCCGAGATCAGAGAATAGGAAATGTTACCTTCTTGGCGTCTCTTTGTGCCACCCATCATTTCGAGGTCCCTCAGAAAATTGAAATTTTTGGAAAAAATATGTTTACAAGGAATTTGAGCTGAAGCAAACATTTGCATTAGTCTTCATCGAAATAAATATTTACAATAAATCGTAACATGAACCTCGAAGATCATCCATTTTTTCATTTTTCCGCCGAGTGGTCTTGTCTGCCATTTCTAAGATTTCTAAGATATTCAGGCAAAAAGGGCAAAAGAAAACATTATTGTCTGGAAGAAATCTTTTAGGTAAAAGAAAGGGAAAAGGGGGACAAAATGATGATTGGATGATTGGACCAGTCTCTATCCGACTCTCGATCAAAAAGATCACCATTAGCTGGGAATGCGAATCTTTTAGTACATTATAGAATCTTTTTAAGAAGCTTTAAGAAGTGAAGTTTTGCTTTCTATCTAGCATCAACCATGAAGATCAGTTGATTGTTCGTAGTACTAAAAGCAATACTAGCAGCTCTTTTTGATCAACAATCTGTTTTAGTCAACCTATTATTTTTTCCATTTCTCAACTTCTCCTTTTTGATCAGATCTCTTGAACGGATTTGCAATCTCCGATTTGATCTCTGTCAACTCACACTTGCACCCAGCCAAAACGAAACGATGTCTAGGTGTCTGTCTAGAAGATATTCAATGGAAGATTTCGACACTTCATATTGATTGAGTTATGTTTTTTGGATGTTCACGTTCTTGGTTCACTACCTCTCAAACTCATTTTTAAGTTGTTAGCTTGACTCATTGTCAAAGCAACTGGTTTACTCGAGTTAATCCGATAGGGGACTTTTATAGAAAAGTGAAATGATGTGATTGCAGAAAAAAGCTCAATGGAAAAACGGGAAGAAAGTCTAGAAGAAATAGAAAATAGGAATAGAAAATAGAAATGGAAAACTGGCAAAACACAGCTAAAATTATAGCCTTAACTTTAGATGTGGAACCTTGGTTAAAATCTCTTCGCCTTCACAAATACACGGCTCTTTTCCAAGAAATGACATACGATCAAATGATGAGTCTCGGTTTGTTTTGCTTAAATTTTATAAAAATCCTTTTCATCTCCTTAAAATCACTTAGTTTTTTCCCAATCTTACTGTAGCTCAATTTGCTTTTTCAATGGTATCAGCCTAGAATTTCTCCAAGGTTTTAGAGAAATTAGGAGAAAAGGTGGTGATTTTCTTTATTTTATTTCTCTAACTATGTGTGCATTTGGGGATGCCAATGAAAAAGTCATAAAATTTGTGCCAAAAGGGGAAATTGAGAGAATCTTTTAAATGAGAGAGGAAATAAGTTATTCAATTCAGACATAAATATAGGTAGAAAATTGTGATACCAAAGTTCTAAAGAATTTGGGAAGGTCTTCGGGGTTCTTTGGTTCAACAGCAACACGCACGACTGGGGAGACGGAGAACTTCTGGATATCTTTGAGCTTGAATTATGCAGCAATTTGATTTAAGTGATGTAATCCTGAAAAGTTCTAGAATTTGCTTGTGCCATTCAAATTCCCTTTTTCCTTTTTTGGCAATGATGCAATGTGCACTTGACGAAAACGAAAACGAAAAGCTTGAAGTACTCGGCTAATCGATTTTCTTTTTCTACCGTAATCTTAATCTTGTCTCCATTTTGTCGTAATTTCTACGGTAATCTTGTATATTTTTATCCAATCCATCTACTTTCGTCTGATTCTATGAGTGTTCAAAAAGGTAGGCTACTTTGCGCCAAACTTTTTGCCCAACAGGATCTTTTGCGTAGCTTGCCATAACTTTCTTCTAAGTGGATCAATCTTTATGCTTTTGGTGTCCTTTTGTTGCACTTATTGAGATCTACAAAATGAAACCAAAGTCATAAAGATTGGTCGACTTAGAAAAAAAGTTATGGTGAGTTGCGTAAAAAAAACTGCAGAAACTAGCCTACCCCAAAAAAGGATATCGAAAGCTATAAAAAGTGGATTGATTGGATAAAAATAGAGAAAGGTAGAAAATAGAAAGAGGTAGAAGAGGTAGAAAGAGAAAGTAATCTTTTCATCTAAAAACAAAACAGATTAAAAGACAGACAAGATTACGGTAGAAAGAGAAAGTAATTTTGTTTGTCTAAAAATAAAGACAGATAAGATTACGGTAGAAAGGAAAAGGGGGATACGTTTTAAAAATGAATTAGAAAGGGAAGAGCAGGTAGAAGATTGTGATAGTTTAGATGAAAGCGTTGGAAATTTGAGGTGTGAGATCGCAAAATAAGGCTCTATGGAAATAGAGTTGAGCCAGGCATTTTCAATACAATATTTGCAGACGAAAACACTCTGGAGCAGGAACATGTGACGAAAGGAGCAAGGAAGAAAATTCTTCAGTCAATCGAGAAACTCATTCAACGTCCCGCAATTCTCCGTGAAAACGAACAAGTGAGTGGTTATATTCAGAAGAGTAGGAGTTTATTTGTCATTTACTTTTAGATCATTTAGTTTCAGATGTTATTCATGGGTGCTGGGAAACGGTGTGTGAATTGCGCTATTGTGTGTCTCCTTCAAACACTCGGCACACCAATTCATCCATACAGATCGACAAATTCCAAATCGATTGATACGCCATGTATCAAAATACAGGATCAGGTTTGGCTGCGATAATGAATTTAAATAATTTGTCCTTTTCAGAATTTACCGGGTATGCTTTATCGTCTCCTATTCCATGTGCATTGCCTCGTTTTTTGTGGTGGTTTACAAGCTGTTCGTGAAGATCTCGAAGATGAATATCTTTTCATGTTACTCAATACTTATGATAGGATTCTCAGCAATGCTGTGAGGATAAAAATGTAAATCAAGGATTAAATATAACATTCATTTCTAGGCATTTACTGCGGCTCAAAAAGAGCAAGTTCTGGCGTGGAAAAAAGAGGCCAGAAAGTTTGTGGAACCGGCTGAATTGAGGGGACATCGAGTGAACACTCCACACACAACAAAATGCGATTCGTGTTTCACGGTGAGCTGGTAAAAAATGGGCTGGTAAAATGACAATGTTGAATATCTTTTAACTTTAGTTGTAATTTATTTAAAGCTTTTCTTTCAGAAAAACCAAGAGCGAACCCGTTCCGAGCAACGAACGATCTATCAAAATTTGGTCAGTTTGTCCAATTTGCCCAGTTTGCCCAAGGGTTTCTTCGATCTGGATTTGACTGCTGTAAGAAATTTGAAATTCGCAATTATTAGAAAGCTTGTAGCAATACGTGGTAGCAAATCAACAGCTAATACTCCTGTTGATGCAAGGACAACAAGGACTTCTTCAACAACAACAGCAAAAGGAGCAAGAAATCCACACGTAAGAAACTGATAAATATAATAATTTTACAAGTCTTGAAACTAAAATAATAAATAAATGTTGCATTTTAGATGGACCAATTACATTAACACACTCAATCAACCACAACCACCAGTTCGGGTTAGTTTCTCTATCTCTACTTCAAAGCTAGAAGCTGGGTCGAATCTATTTCTTATCTAATTCAGAATTCGAATCATTCTCTCTTTGGGCCTCAGCCTCAATCAAGATCTGGTTATGGATTGGGTACTCCAATTGAGTCAACTCTTTTACCAACACCACGACCCATTCAAGGTCAATCATCCATTCACAATCAGCCTCGATACTTCAATGAACAGGTAAAAAACTAGTAATATATTAAAACCTTAATTAGCCCTTTACACTTTCGGAGACTCGTCAAGAGAATTCGCTCTTTTCCGATTCTCTTCAAATGACAATCGGAACGTGGAATGGAGCTGCTGCCGAAGAAGCAAAGAAAAGTAAGTAGTAGAGAAATTTAAATTTTTCAACAGATCAGCTCAGTTCTAAATTAAATATTTTAGGATTATATGAGCCATTCTCTCCTTGTGACTCAATTTCTGGCTATTCCTCACCGGGAAGTGAACGAGGGGGTCGCGGGGGATCGGCTGCTTCACCCGAAAGTATTCATACTCAAAGCAGAGCACTACACGGCACAACACCGAATTTTCTCACAGCTGATATACCGCAGGTGAATCCAGGAAAACAGTACTAAACCTTTCGAATATTTAAAATATATCAAAATTTTACAAGGGAAAGTTTCATCTTTCATTTACAGGTTGACGTCAATTGGATCTACGGACATGGCGCACATTAATCCGACTTTCACTTCATTATTTTCTTCTCATTCATTCATTTTCATCGCCTTCATTTCCCCAAAACTTTCAACATATGTAACTAAAGGGAAAACCCGATTTTCGTCCAAAAACCGACCCAAACGTGATCTAGAAAAAGGAACACTTCCTCAAATGAAAAACCCCTAAATCCTTCAAAACCACGTAATTCCGTCGTACAATTCTTGTTTTTTGTGTTGATGAAAATAAGAAAATCTTTATGATTTCATTTTCAGTTAATTGTTTTTCTTTCATTATTTGATGATTAAGTATTTATTTTTCGAGCATGACAAAAACGTTTTCCCAAATTGCGACTATTATTTTTTTGTGATATCGAAATGATTGCAGTATATCACAAATCAATTATCCATGTTCTCTAGCTACTTTGGCTAACTCAGAACCGGCAAATCGCCTAAAGTCCTTTAGAAAATTTTCGCAAAAATGACAGCTTTCAATTGGTCTCGTAAAGGATCAAGGCAAAGGAACGTTTATTTGGTCATGCAGAACCACAAAATATCCCCTAAATTGCCATTTTGGATCCTTACGGTTATCGGTGGGTCGAGCAATTATGGAGGAGACAGAGTTTCTGACCATTCTGCAGCCCGATTTAGCTAGATTTTTTGAATAACTGTTGATGAAACAGACATTTTCTGACAGTTGACGTTCTAAGCTATATAAATCTTAGCAGCATTGACCTCAATTTTGGATTTTGGGGTAAGAAAAGATTGATTATTCAGTTGAGCAATAACAAGGCTAACATTGACTGATGAGCAACAAAACTTAACCTTCACTTTCCTTCTCCAAAATTTCCAACCAAATTTTCACTCTATTTCTCCTGCCACATTTCAATTTGAGCACTTTTTAGGAACCTTTTCTTTTAATTTGAGCACCTTTTCTTACACACGTTTTTTTGTGTAAATATTGTAGTCATTTCCTTTGAAGGCCTTCCAATTTTTTTGGTATTCTATATAAAACAAAATATAAATATATTATCGTATTTTCTCACCAAGTGAATATTCAAATTTGAATTTAAATTTTATTTGAATGAAATTTAATTGTCGCTTTTCACCTTAAAGAATTGATTAAGACACATTAAGACAATTGATTTGCTACAACGAACCATCACATAATCCGGTGTGCATCGTATTTCCGGATTTGTCGATAAATCACCTCGTCTTCCTGAGTATTTTGGAGTTTGTTTATACTTAAATATGTCAGTAATTCGCTTCCTTACTTGCAAACGGACTTTCCCATCGGACACTTTCCTTACCTGCAAACGGACTTTCCCAGCCCACCGAACTGCATCAATCGATTGTTTGATGTGTTTGACATCAAACATCACCTCTAAAATCGAGGTGAAATCCTTGTTTAAAACCAACTTCTTGACTTCTTAAGACTGTAATATTCAGAAATTAAATATTGTGTTTCATTGATCATCGCATTCATCCATACCTCCATCGATTGTCCAGGTACAATCCAAATCCAAATACAATATTCCAAAGTGATTTACCCTTGAAACGCTTCGTTTCCATCCCATTTAATCACTTCACCACAGGGCCCAAAGCTTTAATCAAATCAAAGCTATCAAAATATTAAGCTAAGAACAAGACCAAGAACAAGAAGAAGAAGAACAAGAAGAATAAGAAGAAGAAGAAGAAGAGCAAGAACAAGAAGAAGCGCAAGAACAAGAAGGAACATGAACCAGAACAAGAACAAGGACAAGAAGAAAATCTAATACAAATATTCAACCTGATCAACCGACAAACGTGAAGTGGCAACACAAAGGAGAAAACAACTTCGACAAGCAACGCGCTGAGGGGTAAAATTTGCAGAAAGTACACGGACATTGAACATTGAACAAGCTTGTTCAAGCTTCGAATCATGTTCAACCTTGTTCAAGCTCGAATCATGTCCATTCAGTAACCAAATGCTCGTGTTTCAATGTTGTGGATTCCTGAGTGAAAACCCGGCACGGTACACAATACCAAAAAAGTAGAGGCCCTATATAGCAGCCAGTACGTACCCTAAACTGCTTGTTGTTTCTTAAAGTATCCCTAGTAGTTCCCAACTGGCTGAGCCAATCTAGTAGAATTAAAGTACATGACCGTGAAAAATGTTGTGTCTGGTCCTCCCCAAAAATCCAAAAACAAGGTACAATGTTGCACCTAAGGTCCCAAATACCTAATATCGAGGCTTTGCTGAGAAGTTGAGGCTACTGTAGGGGCCTCTGAAAAAATACTTGATGTTACAAAGTTCGAGTAAACTTGAACGAAATTAATTTAGTGGGAAGTTCATTTTTTATATTTAAGCTAATCGTCGAGGAAGGCCCCAAAATCTCGATTTGGACAAGAAGAAATACTTGGTGCCTTCTGATTTAACCGTTGGCTTACTTCTTGATCAGAGAGGCTACTTCTTGATGAGGAGAGGTCATTTTAAATCAGGCAAAGGTTTCAAGTGATAGCTGAATTGGGGCTTTAGTTTGTGTGCCAAAGGATTTAGCGAACAGATGAAATGAGAGGAGGAAGGTTCAAAAAGGGCTCTTTATCTGTAATTCTCCTTTCGAACCCATCTCCGACCCAAAGACGCCCTTTGTTCTTCGTCAACAACACATTCCACAAGCGGGGAAACTCTATCAGGTAAGAGGCAAGAGGAAAATCTGTGTTAATTAAAAGGCGAGACTCGGCTAGGAGTAGTTTAATTTGAAACTATTCATTTGAAATCCTTGAAACAAAGGAATGAAAATGAAGATATTTTTGTTTATATTAAAGTGTTTTTTACTCGAATTTAGCTAAAACTACCCTAATCTGTACGATTTTTCACTTGATTAGCTCAATTTTGTTATGATTAACTCGAACCTTGTGATTCTTTCATCGAGTTTCACCAAAATTGAGCTACGTGAATAAGAAACTGGCGGAAGATTAAGGTAGTTTTGACTGAAATTGATTTTATTATATTTTCAGATATTGGAGCCGATCGATCCCGCCATCATCAAAAGTCAACCATCAATAACTCCTAGCAATTTTTAACTTTGCCTATTTCTGCTATATTTTTGCAAGATTTTTATTAACTATCAAAATGAAGCCCTTTTCAAAGGAAACCCTTTTTCGACTAGGTTTCGATTTTAAATTTTTTGAGAATTTTCTAGCTGCCTTTTGTTTGGTAGCACCTGTGCCGAAAAACTAAAGGTTCAAGAGATCACGATTTAGAATGTGATTTTGCTTGATTTGGAATGTTTCACTCAGTAAGATAAAGTGAGTGAAACTCGACTTTGTAACGGGTCTATTTTCTGTGTTGATCAGCACTTTGGCCCATGAAAAAGCGAGTTTAGCACAGTTTTAAACTAAAAATCCTAACGTAGAACTCAGTTTTCAGCAAGTCTAGTTAGCACCTCACCTTAGAGTGCTTTCCTTTGCAAAAAGGCTCCATTTTGTAATTAATTTCATGAGTCTATTAGTAATTCTGTGGCTTTGACATTTTTGGCATCCTTGGCTTTTGAACTCAACCTAGCTAGTCTAGCTACTCCACCTAGCTAGTCACCAGTCTAGCTAGTATTTCGGTAAAAACTATGTAATTCTTGCACAAAGATAATTTCTCTTTTACTTCGATGCTAATGAAATTTTGGTCAGAATGCAAATAAATACGTAGGATGAACTTGCTCAGAAATGTTTGATTCTCAAGAAATCTCAAATTATTTGCCATTTCTTGTTTCGGCTAGGAATGATATATTTGAATGATTGGCTCAAGCCAATCATTCAAATATATCTCAAGGTTATTCAAATAACCATCTCAAGATGGTTGGCTTTGAATTGTTTTTGCCTGAAAAGGCTACCTGTACGCGTTAGAAACTTTACAATTTTCCAACGTTTGAATATGTTTTTCTTTTTTCCTCAAAAAGCCAAGGAGTTTTTTATTTTTTATTTTCAATAAAACAACCTTGAATGATTTCATTTCTATGACTCGAGTTACAGACAATCAAATGGTTTCACTTTTTCGGATAGTTCTACTTTAGGGTAGTTTGCGTAGAAAACGTTTTTGTCTTTGAACGATCTTTTTACAAATAAATTTATGCAGAGAAGTATTCAAATTAATTAACCAAAAAGAAAAGAAAGATTGAAAATGCAAAGCAAAAAGCGCAGGTAGGGACCAGATAAGGGAAAAAGCTCGCATTGGACCCAAACTCCAATTTTGAGAACTAGGACAATGGAATTTTTTCGAACACTAATGTTTTTGGAGAAAAGGCGGAAAAATTGTTGCAAGCTTATTTGCTTGTTGAAACAAACGGAGCTTGTTGAAACAAACGGAGCTTGTTGAAACAAACGGACGGAGCTATAGAAAGAGCAAAATCGACAATTTTCTGTAATTTGAGCTAGCCGTTTTGTCTTTCAAAATGGTTCCACACGCTCTGTTATGTCAAAATTTGAATTTGACACCCTCAAATTACCTAGAAAAACAACTTTTGGGATAGAAATTGGTTAATATTAGCTTTTTAGAGCTTTTTAAAACGCGAAAAGGTATTGAATTATTGCATACCTTTTCACTAGCAACAAATCATAAAAGAGTAAAACCCGCAATTCCCACAGTTCAAGCACTCCAGCAGTTCAAGCACTTTACCATTAGCAATCTAACTTTCAGCTAGAATTTCTTGGTTTTGAGCTGTCCAATTGCATATTTGAGCTAGTTGCTAGTTGCATCTAACTTTGGACATCTAAATTTGATGTTAGTGCTTCAAAAAGGTTATTTCATTGGAGGATTATTCTCAACTAATTTCGGCTTTTTGATCAGTGGGACGGAAGCGAGGTGAGCTAAAAAGAACTTTCTTTTTGACAGACATGGGTCAGTTGGCCATTTCTTTCTCTAAGCCACCCTTTTCTCTTAAGCTTTCCCTTTTCTCGTCTCAATTACAATCATTTTCGAACAATTGTTTCATAGCCGGTGGTCCACTTTGGGGAAATGAGAAAAGAAAATGATGAGAATCGCCTCAAATTCGAAATGCACTTTTTTTAAAATAAATGTCAAGATATTTTTAGACGAATTGTTTTACAATGTTTTACACCATTTTTGCCGTTACTCCTTTTTATGTCTCTTTAAAATATTGTTTCTCTTTTATTGTTGAGTTTTTGGAGCTGACAAAGCTGTCTTTTTCAAAAAACTCTCCAAGGAGATGGTTCCAATCAACTTTTTGTGTTTTTCTCTCGATTTCCTTCAGAATCTTTCAGTCTTCGAAGACTGAAAGAAAACGGGGGTAAGGGAGGGAAATGAAGGAATTTGTGGTGAAGGTGAATCACAAGTCCACAAGAAAAATCGGCCAAAAACCAAAATTAAGAGAAACAAAACAAAAATTGAACGACTTGTCCATAAATGGGGAAGTTTTTAAAGCTTTCAGCTCATTCAACGGAATATTTTGAATCAATCCGCATAGAAATGGTCAATAACTCGAAACAAAGACATTCCCTAGTCTCTCGGTGGCTTACAGTTAGAAATATTTGCCAATTTTGTTTCCTTTCTAATTTTCTTCAAGAATTCATCCTGAAACTAATATTCTCTCCCCAAAAAGCTTTACCATGATTTCTCACGCTTCTACTTGCTTTCCCCTCCCCAATTATTATTCCCGATCATCCACCACCGATTCTCTTTCACCGATTGTTCTATTTTTACTTTCCCCATCATTGTCTATTCCTTTCTTTTTCTTTTCTTTTACATTCCGCAAGTTTTTGTGATCACCTTTTGCCCCTACAGCCTAAAGAGAATCCTTATGTCCATCCATACTTTCTCTTCATAGTTTTTCATCCATGGTTTTTCTTTTCTTTTTTACTCTAAAAAGCCCCGAGTCATTTTTCTTTTACTCTAAAACCTATAACCATGACTATTTGGATCCATATTGATGGGAAAATCTTTCTTGGGAAAATCTGAAAATCCGACTATATGTTCATTATGTTCATTCATTTCAGCGATTTGGGTTTTTAGAAGTTTTGCCTCGTCATCAAATTTTAAAACCTGGATCGTTACTCGCGTCATTTCCCACCCCCAGACGCCACTATTAGATGATTTTAAAGAATGTGCTTCGGATTTTTAATCTCTTTTTCCAGTTTAGTACCAGCCTCCGGTAGCACTTTTGACCTTATTTGGTGAGAGAAATAAGAGGAGGAGGCGGCCGTAAAATGAGCCGCGTCTCATCCGTCCCGAAAGAGGCTTTTTCCTCAATGTAGAAGCCTTGACTGATATCCGGGAAATTCTGTGGGACGGGGGTGCCGTCTTTGAATGATAAGGAAAAGTTTGTTGAATGCGCCGCCTGAGGTCAAGCTTATTATGGGAAAAACAGAGGCTGCTCCCTTTGCCTTTCCCTTTGTCAATCGATGGGTTTTGACTATGGGGACCTGACCTGACTAAATTTTAGCATAAACCAGTGTCGAGAAAAACTTGTGCTCAACAAGCTCAAATGTTGCCCCCACCACGTCCACGAATCAATCAAGTAAGTCTTTTTGATTAGATTTTGTCATAAATCGAGTATCTCATTCGAGGTATTCTCGAAAACCAATCATTCGGCACCTCGGAATTCCATTTGCATAATTAAACCATCCCTGGTTGTTTGGGGCTTTGAATGAACGGGGAAATTGGGTGGACGAGAGGCTTCCACTAGGTTCATCCCCTCTCTTTTCTCTCTCTCCCCTCTCGTCCTCAGTGAACAATAAGCGTAGAATGTAAAAATGTGTCTAAAAAGTGTGTCCACATCATAAAGTCTACACGGGAAACGGTGAGAATAGGTTTTTGACCCTTGATGAAAATGGATTCAATGAGGCATAAATACGGAAAATATGTATTGATTTCAGGGCTCAAGCTTCACGAATGGTGTAAATCGAGTCACCGACGAGTACCGATTCTCTCGTGTCGTCCCAAAACTCTCGAATCTAAACTTTGCTTTGACTCTTCCACATCGTACTATTTTTCACGAGGTGAGTTCATTCTTTAATTAGAGTCATTACAGCTCTTTAATTGCAGTTTTGATTACAGCTTTTAAATACATATTTTCATTTCCTAAATACTTAGCTCTTAAAATTAGGTAATCCCACCGTTTCCTGGAAGCGATTCAATGTCGACACTTGGAATGAGAGGTTCGCTTTTCTTTGATTCTTTACTCGACACTATTCGGATTAGTCTTATCTTCAGAAATTCTTCAGAAAAAACTTTTTACTGTTTTTTGCCTGCTCTAACTGCTAAATCTTCAAAGAGAACGCGGTGATTTAAAAAGGGCAATAATTTTGAAAGCTTGAAAAAGATCAGAGTAGAAGAGTCCCTCACAAACAGCCCAAATTGTGTTTTCCTGATAAGCTGGCGCCGACCATAAGTCAGCTATTCGTTTAGAAAAAGTGAATGTTTTTGGAGTGGAGTTACCAAAAGGGAAGGGATTTGCATTTAAAATAAAGTAAAATATGTGAATAATTTGTTTTACTGTAAACCTGGGTAGGTAAGAAAATACTGTTAGTAAGAAAAATAAGATTTTGTGGAAGGAAAACAAAACTGCAATTTGTCGAGAGCAAATATTATTGTTTTCTTCTCACATCGCCTTGACCCCTTTTGTGATCGATTTCATCGTTGTGCTTTGGCGTTCTGTTTTTTGGAGTTTTCACCCTAGCATGATTCGCAACTTCTCTCTTTTGGAGATGCCGATCTCTGCGAGCAGTTTGCCAAGATGTGAAAGAGGAACTTTCCACTTTTCCCCTTCTTCTCTTTCCCCTTGGCTGGTGAATCCCTGTAAACTTTATTATTTTTTGCTCTCTTTTCAACTAGAACTGTCTAGAGATTGAGGGTTTCGATGCGATGGTTGAATTCCCCTCATCGAGATCGAGAGAAGGGTCGAAGAAGAAAAGAAGTGAATAGGTGCAGTCTGGTCGACTCGTTTTTCCCAGACACAGCTCAGACTAGACATGGGCCGATCGAAGGAAAAGAAAAGACTGAAAGACAAGGATTGCATCACATGGATTGAAAAAGAAAAATGAAACGAGGGAAAAGAAAGCGATAAGTGACCGATTAGGAGCGGAAAAGAAAACGGTTTGGAGAGATGCATTTCCTCTTTCACCGATCAAGTAGGATCGGCTGGAGTTAATTTTAGAAGAGTGCACTGTGATCAAGAAGGTTCTGAACTTAGTTCAACATACATAAGGTTAGGCGGACTCAATCATTCTAAACTGGCATGGGAATTGACCCACCGGATTATACCCAAAAAATTACTCATTTTTAACAATAACGTTTTGCCATGTATCTTCAGTATGCTAATCACTTTCCGCCGCGTTTTTTGCCTTAAATTTTTTGTCGTCATTTTTTGGATGGAGCCGTCTCGCTGCGTTCGGCCGTCTTGCAACATTTCTACGCTGCCGAAGAATAAGGACGGAAATCATTGCGAGTCGCTCTCTTTCTCCTTTTTTTTTTATATTACAGCTTCAAATAGGCGACAAGTCCAAGCCGAGATCAGAGAATAGGAATGTTACCTTCTTGGCGTCTCTTTTGTGCCACCCATCATTTCGAGGTCCCTCAGAAAATTGAAATTTTTGGAAAAAATATGTTTACAAGGAATTTGAGCTGAAGCAAACATTTGCATTAGCCTTCATCGAAATAAATATTTACAATAAATCGTAACATGAACCTCGAAGATCATCCATTTTTTCATTTTTCCGCCGAGTGGTCTTGTCTGCCATTTCTAAGATTTCTAAGATATTCAGGCAAAAAGGGCAAAAGAAAACATTATTGTCTGGAAGAAATCTTTTAGGTATAAGAAAGGGGAAAGGGGGACAAAATGATGATTGGATGATTGGACCAGTCTCTATCCGACTCTCGATCAAAAGATCACCATTAGCTGGGAATGCGAATCTTTTAGTACATTATAGAATCTTTTAAGAAGCTTTAAGAAGTGAAGTTTTGCTTTCTATCTAGCATCAACCATGAAGATCAGTTGATTGTTCGTAGTACTAAAAGCAATACTAGCAGCTCTTTTTGATCAACAATCTGTTTTAGTCAACCTATTATTTTTTCCATTTCTCAACTTCTCCTTTTTGATCAGATCTCTTGAACGGATTTGCAATCTCCGATTTGATCTCTGTCAACTCACACTTGCACCCAGCCAAAACGAAACGATGTCTAGGTGTCTGTCTAGAAGATATTCAATGGAAGATTTCGACACTTCATATTGATTGAGTTATGTTTTTGGATGTTCACGTTCTTGGTTCACTACCTCTCAAACTCATTTTTAAGTTGTTAGCTTGACTCATTGTCAAAGCAACTGGTTTACTCGAGTTAATCCGATAGGGGACTTTTATAGAAAAGTGAAATGATGTGATTGCAGAAAAAAGCTCAATGGAAAAACGGGAAGAAAGTCTAGAAGAAATAGAAAATAGGAATAGAAAATAGAAATGGAAAAACTGGCAAAACACAGCTAAAATTATAGCCTTAACTTTAGATGTGGAACCTTGGTTAAAATCTCTTCGCCTTCACAAATACACGGCTCTTTTCCAAGAAATGACATACGATCAAATGATGAGTCTCGGTTTGTTTTGCTTAAATTTTATAAAAATCCTTTTCATCTCCTTAAAATCACTTAGTTTTTTCCCAATCTTACTGTAGCTCAATTTGCTTTTTCAATGGTATCAGCCTAGAATTTCTCCAAGGTTTTAGAGAAATTAGGAGAAAAGGTGGTGATTTTCTTTATTTTATTTCTCTAACTATGTGTGCATTTGGGGATGCCAATGAAAAAGTCATAAAATTTGTGCCAAAAGGGGAAATTGAGAGAATCTTTTAAATGAGAGAGGAAATAAGTTATTCAATTCAGACATAAATATAGGTAGAAAATTGTGATACCAAAGTTCTAAAGAATTTGGGAAGGTCTTCGGGGTTCTTTGGTTCAACAGCAACACGCACGACTGGGGAGACGGAGAACTTCTGGATATCTTTGAGCTTGAATTATGCAGCAATTTGATTTAAGTGATGTAATCCTGAAAAGTTCTAGAATTTGCTTGTGCCATTCAAATTCCTTTTTTGGCAATGATGCAATGTGCACTTGACGAAAACGAAAACGAAAAGCTTGAAGTACTCGGCTAATCGATTTTCTTTTTCTACCGTAATCTTAATCTTGTCTCCATTTTGTCGTAATTTCTACGGTAATCTTGTATATTTTTATCCAATCCATCTACTTTCGTCTGATTCTATGAGTGTTCAAAAAGGTAGGCTGCTTTGCGCCAAACTTTTTGCCCAACAGGATCTTTTGCGTAGCTTGCCATAACTTTCTTCTAAGTGGATCAATCTTTATGCTTTTGGTGTCCTTTTGTTGCACTTATTGAGATCTACAAAATGAAACCAAAGTCATAAAGATTGGTCGACTTAGAAAAAAAGTTATGGTGAGTTGCGTAAAAAAACTGCAGAAACTAGCCTACCCCAAAAAAGGATATCGAAAGCTATAAAAAGTGGATTGATTGGATAAAAATAGAGAAAGGTAGAAAATAGAAAGAGGTAGAAGAGGTAGAATTTTTTTTATTTTTAAAGAGAAAGTGATCTTTTCATCTAAAAACAAAACAGATTAAAAGACAGACAAGATTACGGTAGAAAGAGAAAGTAATTTTGTTTGTCTAAAAATAAAGACAGATAAGATTACGGTAGAAAGGAAAAGGGGGATACGTTTTAAAAATGAATTAGAAAGGGAAGAGCAGGTAGAAGATTGTGATAGTTTAGATGAAAGCGTTGGAAATTTGAGGTGTGAGATCGCAAAATAAGGCTCTATGGAAATAGAGTTGAGCCAGGCATTTTCAATACAATATTTGCAGACGAAAACACTCTGGAGCAGGAACATGTGACGAAAGGAGCAAGGAAGAAAATTCTTCAGTCAATCGAGAAACTCATTCAACGTCCCGCAATTCTCCGTGAAAACGAACAAGTGAGTGGTTATATTCAGAAGAGTAGGAGTTTATTTGTCATTTACTTTTAGATCATTTGTTTCAGATGTTATTCATGGGTGCTGGGAAACGGTGTGTGAATTGCGCTATTGTGTGTCTCCTTCAAACACTCGGCACACCAATTCATCCATACAGATCGACAAATTCCAAATCGATTGATACGCCATGTATCAAAATACAGGATCAGGTTTGGCTGCGATAATGAATTTAAATAATTTGTCCTTTTCAGAATTTACCGGGTATGCTTTATCGTCTCCTATTCCATGTGCATTGCCTCGTTTTTTGTGGTGGTTTTCAAGCTGTTCGTGAAGATCTCGAAGATGAATATCTTTTCATGTTACTCAATACTTATGATAGGATTCTCAGCAATGCTGTGAGGATAAAAATGTAAATCAAGGATTAAATATAACATTCATTTCCTAGGCATTTACTGCGGCTCAAAGAGCAAGTTCTGGCGTGGAAAAAAGAGGCCAGAAAGTTTGTGGAACCGGCTGAATTGAGGGGACATCGAGTGAACACTCCACACACAACAAAATGCGATTCGTGTTTCACGGTGAGCTGGTAAAAAATGGGCTGGTAAAATGACAATGTTGAATATCTTTTAACTTTAGTTGTAATTTATTTAAAGCTTTTCTTTCAGAAAACCAAGAGCGAACCCGTTCCGAGCAACGAACGATCTATCAAAATTTGGTCAGTTTGTCCAATTTGCCCAGTTTGCCCAAGGGTTTCTTCGATCTGGATTTGACTGCTGTAAGAAATTTGAAATTCGCAATTATTAGAAAGCTTGTAGCAATACGTGGTAGCAAATCAACAGCTAATACTCCTGTTGATGCAAGGACAACAAGGACTTCTTCAACAACAGCAGCAAAGGAGCAAGAAATCCACACGTAAGAAACTGATAAATATAATAATTTTACAAGTCTTGAAACTAAAATAATAAATAAATGTTGCATTTTAGATGGACCAATTACATTAACACACTCAATCAACCACAACCACCAGTTCGGGTTAGTTTCTCTATCTCTACTTCAAAGTTAGAAGCTGGGTCGAATCTATTTCTTATCTAATTCAGAATTCGAATCATTCTCTCTTTGGGCCTCAGCCTCAATCAAGATCTGGTTATGGATTGGGTACTCCAATTGAGTCAACTCTTTTACCAACTTACCACGACCCATTCAAGGTCAATCATCCATTCACAATCAGCCTCGATACTTCAATGAACAGGTAAAAAACTAGTAATATATTAAAACCTTAATTAGCCCTTTACACTTCCGGAGACTCGTCAAGAGAATTCGCTCTTTTCCGATTCTCTTCAAATGACAATCGGAACGTGGAATGGAGCTGCTGCCGAAGAAGCAAAGAAAAGTAAGTAGTAGAGAAATTTAAATTTTTCAACAGATCAGCTCAGTTCTAAATTAAATATTTTAGGATTATATGAGCCATTCTCTCCTTGTGACTCAATTTCTGGCTATTCCTCACCGGGAAGTGAACGAGGGGGTCGTGGGGATCGGCTGCTTCACCCGAAAGTATTCATACTCAAAGCAGAGCACTACACGGCACAACACCGAATTTTCTCACAGCTGATATACCGCAGGTAAATCCAGGAAAACAGTACTAAACCTTTCGAATATTTAAAATATATCAAAATTTTACAAGGGAAAGTTTCATCTTTCATTTACAGGTTGACGTCAATTGGATCTACGGACATGGCGCACATTAATCCGACTTTCACTTCATTATTTTTCTTCTCATTCATTCATTTTCATCGCCTTCATTTCCCCCAAAACTTTCAACATATGTAACTAAAGGGAAAACCCGATTTTCGTCCAAAAACCGACCCAAACGTGATCTAGAAAAGGAACACTTCCTCAAATGAAAAACCCCTAAATCCTTCAAAACCACGTAATTCCGTCGTACAATTCTTGTTTTTTGTGTTGATGAAAATAAGAAAATCTTTATGATTTCATTTTCAGTTAATTGTTTTCTCTTCATTATTTGATGATTAAGTATTTATTTTTCGAGCATGACAAAAACGTTTTCCCAAATTGCGACTATTATTTTTTGTGATATCGAAATGATTGCAGTATCACAAATCAATTATCCATGTTCTCTAGCTACTTTGGCTAACTCAGAACCGGCAAATCGCCTAAAGGTCCTTTAGAAAATTTTCGCAAAAATGACAGCTTTCAATTGGTCTCGTAAAGGATCAAGGCAAAGGAACGTTTATTTGGTCATGCAGAACCACAAAATATCCCCTAAATTGCCATTTTGGATCCTTACGGTTATCGGTGGGTCGAGCAATTATGGAGGAGACAGAGTTTCTGACCATTCTGCAGCCCGATTTAGCTAGATTTTTTGAATAACTGTTGATGAAACAGACATTTTCTGACAGTTGACGTTCTAAGCTATATAAATCTTAGCAGCATTGACCTCAATTTTGGATTTTGGGGTAAGAAAAGATTGATTATTCAGTTGAGCAATAACAAGGCTAACATTGACTGATGAGCAACAAAACTTAACCTTCACTTTCCTTCTCCAAAATTTCCAACCAAATTTTCACTCTATTTCTCCTGCCACATTTCAATTTGAGCACTTTTTAGGAACCTTTTCTTTTAATTTGAGCACCTTTTCTTACACACGTTTTTTTGTGTAAATATTGTAGTCATTTCCTTTGAAGGCCTTCCAATTTTTTTGGTATTCTATATAAAACAAAATATAAATATATTATCGTATTTTCTCACCAAGTGAATATTCAAACAAGCTCTAAAATTAAAACTTTTCAGAAAGAATTGGAATAAGCTCTAAGCATCAAGATTGGCACTCGAGAGAAGGATTTCACCAAATACCAACGATAGAAATAGAGCGCATTGTCTTAACATATCGTCTCTTCATGCTTTAAACAAACCTGCGCCCGAAGCGATACATTTATGTTGCATTTTTCCTCGACCCATGAACTTATTGCCACATCTTCTTCCAGGCCCTTGATGAACTATTGCTATGCAAGTATTAAAAGGGCAAGTGTATGGTCTTAAACTCTTACTTCAAATCAATCGCTTCACTGGTCCCCAAGAGTCCATCCATTTCACCTGCAGGTCGATTCCATCCTCCCAACTCTATCGCCACGTCTCTGGCCCAAGCCTGAAAAAAGCATTCGATTTCATAAATTTCATAAGATACGATGGAAAGTGGCAGCGTCGATGCCAGTCGGCCGATACTTTCTTCCGGCCGACGAAAGGTCCCCATCACAAATCGTTCCTCAGGCACACCTGATAACAACCCTTTTAGCTAAGCCTCATTGAGCCTACGCCGAAATAAATAGGCTTCAAGATGAATATAAAATAGATAAATAAATTTCTCCAAAGGGAAAATATGGCAGCTAATAAAGATGAATTGATAAATAGGTCTTGCTTCTCTTTCTCTATCTCTTTCTCTATCTCTTTCTCTATCTCTTTATCCTGACCCACTCCTGCTATGCCGCTCTTTAAATTAAAATTCGCCTCCAAAAGTATAATTTCTTGAGGCTTTCCCTATCATTAGTACTCAAAAGAATTGGAAGGGGCGTTCCCAACGAAAACACTCCGAAGAGGGGTAAAAATATCAAGATTCAGATTCAGAAAGTATTAATTCTATCTTCCGCCCTTTCTTTTTAGATACGAATCTTAAAAAATCGAAAGTAGAAAGCTTGAAGGATAAAAAAAGAAAGCTAGACACATCCCGTCATTTGATTCTTAGAATAAGAATCATGAGACTATGAGAAATGAGTGCGAAATGTGTCTCGCAGTTTTGGGGTGGTTTTGGAAGATAGTGAGGGTTCCGAAGAGGAGAAAGGGGTGGAGAAAAATAAAAGATGCAGAGTATATGCAAAATCAGCAATACTACAAGGAAGCTATTGCATTGAATGATTGGTTGTGGCAAAGCACACAATAATTCCATTACCAGCGGAAGTGACAATGCACGACCACGTAGTAAAATGAAAGAAGTTGATTTCTCAGAATCATGTGCTCATAATCATGATTTCTCATAATCTCATGATTCTTATTCTAATAGTCAAATAACGGGATGTGGCGCGGGACGCTTTCGCGTCTTTTCTGATCGTTCATCATAGAATTGCTGATCGGATTTGTCCTATGTTGTCCTTGGCCAAATCGAGTGGCATGAAGAGAACGACTATTCATCAGACTCCTCGCCGACGGCCTCAACTGGCTCAACAACTAAAGACGAAGTGATGCTTGTTTTGACTCTGACTTTTAATTCAAATCAATCTTCAAAAACTACCATAGTTTTGACTCTACTTTCATCTAATCTATGTACTAAAATCTTTTCAGATGTAAACCAAGGTATTGAACCTGGAAATTTTTTGGAGATTAGTGCTTTTTAGAAAACGACTCTATACCTTATCTATCCATTCGATTCTTTTCTTTGTTTAGGCTCAGTTTCTGTGACACTTTAGTTTGCCATTGTTTTACTCGAAATTCCATGTTTCTGATCTAAGAATAATAAAAAGTATATAATATCATCGAAAAGCACGACTTAACAAATGGCAAAGTGAATCAAAAACATTTCAATCAATTGTCAAAGCTCGTAAATGTTTTACAAGAAATTTACGGTGACAATTTTTGAGTATTATTTGAGAAAGGGTACTTGTGATCACTTTCGATGCCACTTTTGAATATAATCATTGACATATCTTTAGCTTGTATAGCTCATTTCACCATCTACACAAGCAAACATCCATGCACATCCTGCTTGAGCTGGACAACGCATCAGCAGTAGCCTACATTAACCGATGTGTGCAAACAAGAGCTTAAAGGAAATGCCACAAAATGGCCGTAGTGATTTTGATGCCGTTCAGATGCGAACGTCTATGGGACACGGGGAATCTATGTACTAAAATCTAAATTATTTGAATAAAGATATTTGAATAAAGTGTGTTCCTCTTGAGGAATCACAAGGCTCAGTCATGAAACCTTGGTCTACCAACGAGATAAAGCAAGGCTTTGACTACGAAAGTTTTTTGAAATGGAATTAAACATTAAACGTTAAACAAGAGGAACACACTCTTATCTATCCATTCAATTCTTTCCTTTGTCTTCTAGCTTCCGTCACCCTTTAGTTTCCAAAACCATTGTCTTACTCTCCATGATCTAAGAATAATAAAAATTATATAAAATCATCAAAAAGCACGACTTAACATAAAAGCTGATGGTCAAAAAGCTGATTATTAAGTAAAAGCTGGTCAAAAAGCGAATTATTGCATACCTTTTCACTAGCAACAAATCATAAAAGAGTAAAACCCGCAATTCCCACAGTTCAAGCACTCCAGCAGTTCAAGCACTTTACCATTAGCAATCTAACTTTCAGCTAGAATTTCTTGGTTTTGAGCTGTCCAATTGCATATTTGAGCTAGTTGCTAGTTGCATCTAACTTTGGACATCTAAATTTGATGTTAGTGCTTCAAAAAGGTTATTTCATTGGAGGATTATTCTCAACTAATTTCGGCTTTTTGATCAGTGGGACGGAAGCGAGGTGAGCTAAAAAGAAACAATAGACACAATTTTAACATTAATGTAGCGTACCAAGGTTTTGGTGATGACGAGATCGAGATAAATCAATAGAATTTTCCTGAAGTAATTCAGGAAAATTCTAAGCTTATGTATTTATTTCAATCTAAAACATACTGCTACTTGCGACCGCAGTATCACCAATGACTTTTGGAATTCCAGATGATGAGTCTCCTTTAGTAGCTTGTACTAAAATTCAAATGGTCCTTTAAATAAGTATTGAAAAGCTACCTTCTCATTCATGTCTTTTGCAAAGATAAATACATCGGAAAACTTGTTATTTAACGATATTTAAATTTCTTGTATTCTTTGAGACTTTCTTGGAAAAATTGAGAATCAATTCTGTGAAGCCAAGAACTTTACTTCAAGGAAAAAACGAATTTTGAAGAATTTTACTTTCATTCATGAACAGCCTTCATGAACAGCCTTTCAAGTGAAAACCTTTCTTTTCTTGCATCTTTAATCTCAATTTCTTCAATCCAAACTTATCCAAAATTGAAACTCAAAGTTTTATCAGAAATTCAATTTTGATGATTTTCTCATGACTTTCTTCTGATTTTCATACCTTTTCTTTCTTACTATTCTTGTTCCACAGAGTTTTGGAGAGTATTTTTAACGATATTTAAATGTAATTTTACCAATCTTTGCACACTTTCTAATTGAACCACCTTCACATTGAAACAAGCTTTTTGTAAGTTTTCAGAGTCAAGCTCAAATGTTTCCACTGTTTTTTAAAAGATTGCAGTTTTTAGAAACCTTTACCCTTAATATTTATAGGATTGGTATTTGATTTTTGATTTTGAAAAATGTCTTAACTTTCCAAAAAATTGCATATATTGATTTCAAAGTTTGATACCGAGTTTCAACTTGAACAATTTCAGTGCACACTTTAAGATTGCAGTTTGGGATTCTGAATAGAATAGAGTCCTGAATAGAATAGAGTTCTGAAGAGAGTAGTTTCTAATCGCACAACAGAAAAAAAGCTCAAAAAACAAACAGCTTTTATAAAAAAGAACTGAAAACTTGATTTTTAGGTTCTTGGCCGCAACGATATTTGGCCAAGAAAGGGAAAGTAGAAGAGAAAAAGTAGAGAAATAGAAGTTGCAGTTTGCAGAAAGCCAAGTGGATTGATATAACCAGTGCCATAGAAAGGTGATGTTTACAGCTTTTAAGCGCAAAAATGTACATCTTAGTGAATGAAAAAATTCAAGTTTTAACTTGAACAATGTTTTAGCTTTTGGCTTTACGCTAATCAAGTTTCGTCAGTCTTGGTGATCTTTGAACACCCCCTTTCTGGCGCACCGCAATTCATTTTCGATGGGAAAATGGAAGAATTAAGTGCGTCAGAAAGGTGTTCATGGGATTTGAGAGAGCACAAAGTATGGCTAGAGGTGATTCATTCACCAGAGATTCCCCCAAACCAGTCCCGGCATTCGGTCGGGTCTTTATTTGAGTCTATTGGTGCGCCCTATTTGGGGCCATCTGCCAACCCCTTTCCCCCAACAACGATCTACACCAAATAAAGAAAAAAGCAGAAAAAAGATCCGCTTGGAGTATCATCTTCCCCCTTTCCATTCAGTAACCGTTCCGGCTGCTCAAAATTGAAGATTCGATCGATATTGACTAATGATTTATTGTTAGAATCTATTTGAATATATCTTTATTTTACTGCTTTATTGACTATCGATTTTTCGCTATTCTTTGTTTAAGTTGAAACATGGAAATTTCTCTGATTGAAACTTTCTACTTTCACTCAAGAAAATCAAATAAAAAACCGAATTGAGACAAACGAATATCCAAAATACTTTATGATACAAATAAAGTCGGCCCTAGCTCACTAGCAAGCTTAATTTTGAAACTAACATTTGAAACGAAGAAAAAAATCCGATAAAACACGACAGTATTAGTTTAGTATTTATTGATTTGGCCATCATCCGCTTGACTCCCTTAATCATTGAAACATCTATTCCAAAAAAACTGGCTAACCATTTCAACAGCAAACAATTAAAGAAACCATGCCATTTTAAATTCTCATAAAGTTTTGTAACCGTTAGAATCATTTTTCCATAGTCTGTGGAATCTTAAATTTCTTTTCATTGAGCTTTTTTCTTTTTATTAATCAAAATTGCATTCACTTCAAAGCTGACACCTGTTCTGATTTTAATCGCCTATTCTAAAGTTAATAAATCTTAAAATATCTCTAAACAAACTCTATAAAATCTTATACAAATAAAATAAACGCTCTTATACAAACTTTTTAAATTTGCTAAATTTCAAATTTTCTTTATTTTCTTGAAAGTTTGAGTTTCAATTTTCTTGATGACAAACGGGTCTCTGGGGTTTTAATTATTGCAGTTATTTCCATATGGAAAAATCTATTTTTAACGATATTTAAATGTAATTTTACCAATTGAACTCTTTGCACACTTTCTAATTGAACCACCTTCACATTGAAACAAGCTTTTTGTAAGTTTTCAGAGTCAAGCTCAAATGTTTCCACTGTCTTTTATAAGATTACAGTTTTTAGAAACCTTTACACACTTGACTTTACATTTTTTAAAGCTTTAAGCCATTTGCATTTGAAAGCTTAGCTTTCGCTAGCATTGAAAAGTCAACGTTTCAACTTATTCGACTTCAGCTTTGCTTTGGAAATAGTAATAGTCCTGACAACGTAGTTTTTCTAAGTTTCCCCAAAAATCCCAGCGATCGGTCTTTTCAAATTGAAATTTGCAAAAAATAGTTGATAATCATTTGTTTCCAATAATTTTTGTTTTCAAGATGTTTAAAAACAGAAAACTCGAGCTCTAAGCTGAACATTGTCAAAAGTTCAAAATTTTAAGTTTCTCTTTACTTAATATCATTTGGCTCTTTTTAACGTTAATGATTGCCTTGGATTTCCCGATTAAAAATTAGCGTTTCACCATATTAAACACTGGCCTTGCTTTGCATGCATAATTTCGAAATAATGGTGTCATTTTCAAAATTTCTTCCAAATTTCTTCCAAAAGATCCTCAAAAGATTAGTCACAAAACCTTGAGCTTTAAACCATTTGCATTCAAACCTGGACTCACTTGAAACCGTCCAATTTGAAACAGTCATTTCAAAACCTAAATTTGTCCTAAATTCAGTTTTCTGCAGTCAAACGTACCCGTTTAAACGATTTTCTTAGTATTTATATAAAATCTAGCTCTTTTTTCTGAATCTGCATCGATTACAGCTGCCTCCGATGCTTTCCAAACAAATGAGCCTAATTTTCTCATTTTTCAGCCGTTTTCTCCGAATTTCTCTGATCTCTCGGAATAACAAACGGACCCATTTTAGTCTTTATTTCAATTGAACTTTGCTTTTTTTCAACCGTCTAAACAATAGAGAAGTTGAATGAGAAAAAAATGTGGAAGATGAAAATCATTAATTCAAATTGAAACGTTTTCAAGCTAAGTTTGCAGCTTTCAGTTCTACATCTTAATTCTACTCAAACTGAAAAATATTAAAAGTTGAAAACAATCAATTTCATTATACTTTGTGTTTTGTCACTGTGTTTTAAAGACTCATTGCTATGCTTTTCTTTGAAACATAACTTTTGAATCGCTCAAATCGATGCCACTTTGTTTTTAAGCTTTTTTCTTTAAAAACGCGAAAATTTGCTAAAAATTTCCATTTGTGAATGCTAATTTACGAGCTTTAGCTGGATTAAGGCTATATCCATCGAGCTATAGCCATATCGGTTGGGAAAATCTCCGAAAAAATTTTCTCCTTATAAGCTTTTTCTCAGATTCTCTGATCTCCTCGAATTTTTTCGGATTTTTTCTTTTCGAAATTTTTACCGATTTTCAGTCTTTTCCCAATGAAATAATCCAGTTTTCGCGCAAATTTACAACTGATTTTTTGAGTTTTTCAAGCTATTTCAAGCTTCAAGCTATTTCCATGAATTTTTCCGATATTTGAGGATTGTAATTCGGGGATTACGAATATGTTGCAACTTGCTTGATAATTGTACTTGGAATACTTGAAAACTTGAAACTTGACAAATTTTCGATCTTAAATGAAATTGTTTTCGAATTAAAAACCTATAGAAATTGTTCGAAATAAGCTAAAAATTATTGTAGAATAGTTTTAGACGTTCAAACTGAAACTTTGAAACGTTGAAACGTTGAAACAATCAATTCTCTATCATTTAGCTTCAATCAACCAAATTCTTCCAAATAAAAGCCGTTTTTATGTTTAAAATGGAAAATTGAACTCAAATTCTCGTAGATTTTCGAAGCTTCTTGTCTTTTTTTGTGATAGAAACGATTTGAAAGTCGTTGAACTAAGACTTCCGACTTGAAAAAGACAATTTTCACAAACAATTTTCACAATTTCTTTGTTTTCTCATTCAAAGTGATATTCTTTCATTAGTTGCAATGGAAAGACGTTAGAAATTGAGAAATTGAGAAACGAAATTCTTTTCTGAAAGCTTTACCTTGTTTCGCCAGAAATGTTATTGGAGTGAAATGAAGATCAAATCGAGTCAACTATAATGGAAACAAGCGCCTTAAAGAGCTCAAAATTTGAAACTGTTTAAAAAGTCTATCTAAGCTAAAATCAATGGCTTTCAATTGGAATTGGCCTAGAATTTCAATGTCACTTTTGGATTTGGCTGAGAACTGAGCGAGCTCTTTGCATTTGCATTCAATTAACTTTGAAACCCAATTTTTTTCAGCTGATGAGCCACCAGAGACGAGTGCCTGAATTCGGTCTCAACTCCACCTCGATGAGCGATTTATTGTCCCCAGCCTTATCAAATGCCGTTTTCGAGGTTCTACACGAGAAAATGGTTGGTGAATTTACTTATTTAAAGCGTTTTATTTGGCTATTGATTGGTTGGTTCTGTTGAAATCGTTCTGTAGAGCTTTATTTCTGCCAGTGAAGCACAATCATTTGAGTGAAATGTTTTCAAGGTGTACTTTGGGCTTTCAGAATCCTCGTAAACACATGCTTTCTAGCGTATTGCATAAAAAGATGCTGATTTCGTTGAAAAATGCAATTTTTTGCTCGCCATTCACTAATTAAGTATCATGTTTCAATTTAAAGAACTACCTGACTTGTCCAATTTTTAATGACTCTTAGATTTGCATTCAATTGAAAAGCACCGTTTTAGCTCAGTTTTAGCTTTTAGTTCAGTTTTCAAAGGCTTATCGAAGTCAGCTCAAACCTTTACCTTAATCCTTAATCCTTAATCTTTTCACCCTTTCAGGTGAAAGGATTGGGGAAACCAACGCTGGACCCTAAGGGTACGCAGGGATGAATATAAGATTGCTCTGAGACAAGAAAATTTCTAAGAATTCAAATGTTTTCTATGGCATTATATGGCTAAGACAGAGTCTGATCCATCAAAGAAAAATTCGGATTCGCAAAAAAGTAGATGAGTGTTAGATTACCTAGTCAAAAACTAGTTAAACAAGTCAAAATGTCGACTTTCTTTGCTACTTTAGTAAACCGACCAATCAATCGAAAAGAAGCTAAAGTTGTAGTGCGCATACTCTTGCTCGGAATACGATCGGATAATTCAGAGATCCCTTCTCGAAAATGATATGTCGCTGATGCAACAATTGGTGTCATTGTCGGATAAGGTTAACGAGTTGAAAGTGGGAATGAGACGAGCGAGAAGCGAACGGAAATTGTCTGGCGGGAATTCGAGTGAAGATGAAGAGGAGGCGAGACTGAGGAGTGAGGTCAGGGAAATTCAAATATAATCATTGCTTTCTAAAGCATGCTCCTTTTAGCATGCTCCTAATTTTGTCTCTATTTTTGACGAATCTATTTACTTTTTCAATATTCTTTGTATCGGAGGATCAGAGAAAAAGTTAGATTTTATATAAATAGAGAAGATTACGGTAGAAGGGAGAAAAGGGCGGGTTTAAACCGATTTGAAGAAAGATAAGCAACTAGTTTGAAGCTAAACGACTCTCTTTTGCATCTTTTACTAAATAAATTCATAAATAAGCTTGAAAAAATCCTTTTTGACAAGTTTCGACTATTTCAATTATTTAAGTTTCAAGTTATTTAAGGTCAAACATTATGGCTTAGCTTTAATGGAGGTTTAGGGGTTTTGCAAGCGTAAAGTAACTCGTTTTACAAGCGGTTTTACAAGTAACTAGCGTTTATTAACAAGCGTTAAGCTGGTGGATTACGGTCGTTTTGACTACTTACCTAGAATTTTTCAGGAGCCACGAAACGGTGAGGGCTCAGCGGTAACGACTCTCTACGTCGACTCTCTAAGTTCGTGCCTTTCCCTAGCAAGCTGAAAAAAAAAAAGGGTAAGTAAATTTTCTTTATTTACTGACAAATGTTCTTTTTAAGGCAACCGAACGTTGGATTCAATCTTCAAGCGTCTCAGAGGAAGCAATAAGGTTGCGGTATCCATAGCAAAGGGAAACTCGAAACGGTGAGGGCTCAGCGGTAACGACTCCGAGATTGTCCCGAATGAAACATTTCCCCAACTCGATTCGAGCTTCTATTGGATGCGGACTCTTTCAGGCTTTTTCATTTTTTCACCTGTTTTGGTGTTTTCTTTGCGTGCTTTTCGTTAATTGAATGTGTTTTTAACTAAAAATATTTTGTGATTCAACTCGTGAAAGTTTTCAATGAACAAATGAATGAATAAATAGAAACGTTGTGGCATAAAGATGAGGTAATGAGTAAAGCAGTAATGAGGAATTCAATTGCTTATGGCGTACGAAACGTTTGTGAATTCAAGGACAAATTAACTCATTATAAATCAATAATTAAAATAATTCAAAATATTCGAATCGATTCCGACGATCGCAAAAGTTATTTTTAAAAACGTCTTTTTCTTGCTGATGTGAATCTCAGATGAGAAACTTCGATTGTCACTATTGGATTGTCTCTAGAGCTCACTTGAATCTCACTGTAGATTGAGAGAAGTGGCCGAGTGGCGTTTGGGTCTCTGTCGAAATAACTTCTCATTCTCAATAACGTCTGAAAAAATGATCCTTTGTTGAGTTGAGGCGCTGTTTGAGTTCTCTTTTAAATATTATTTTGTAGAGAATTAGTCACCCTTCTACGGATATCAAGCGGAAATTCACGCCAACCGGCGGTATTTTGTTCATCCTCGGCTGGTTGTCGTTCATTTTGTAAAGTTTCTTGTAAGTTATGATTACTGTAGGCATGCCATAGAATAGCCAGGTCACGCCAAAAATTGAATCATTTGTTATTTGTTCGAATCTCTTCCTCTACAAGTGCTTTAGAACACTTCTTATACAAGTGCTTGCATGTTACTTAATAATATGTAAATTAGTAATGTAGATTCGTATGCTAATTTAAAGCTGATACTCAACAGTGCTTTAGATTAGCATGCAAATCCGAAACTTGTTAAGAGTTTGATACCGCTAGTGTACCAAACTTTTTTCATTCTTACATAAAGCTATTTGAAAAACTATTTAGCTAACATATCCATCGAAACACAAACATACAAACAAACAATTGCAATAAAAGAGGTGAAAGATAACTCTATCTCTAACAAATATATAATACATATATAATAAAACAGGGCTCGTGGTGGGAAAAAACGAGCACAAACAACACATGGAAGCAACCCGAATGCAAATAAAAAGGGGAAATGGGCCGATTCTTTTGAAATTTTCACCCCTATCTTGTTTCACTACATTAGCTAAGTATTCAGCCTACAAAACGAAGGATCTTTTGAGTTCTTCAATCGAATCCAATCGAGATTGTTGTTGCTCACATTCTCATTGATCGATCGGAGTAAAGACGGCCTTGCCTAAAAAGAAGAGTATTATCTTTTTTAACTTTATTGAGAGCTATTATTAACTATATTACAGTAGTTTCAGACGCGCTTTAGATTAGAGGAACACACCCTCATCGACCCAATTACTAAAACTTATTCATTCGACGCATCATCAAATCATAGGCGGGGCGAGTTTTTCAACGGACCTTCCGGTTCCGCCTTGATGACAACGCTCTTCATCGCTTTGGGTTTTGGTGTCGAGGTTGAGCTGCCGGACTTCGCCGGTGTGTTGTCGACTTTTCTAAAGTTAAAATGTTGAATCCAACATTTAATCGCTTAGCCACAAAAGCCTTATTTGACTAATTGACCCAAAAGCGCAAAGGGCAACTTAAAGTCTCCAAAATGCTAACAACCTAAACCAAGAAGCCAATGATAACAAGAGTGCAAAGAAAATTTATGTTCAGAAGCCTTGATTCAAACTTTTAAGAGTTCATATTCAAAATCTTAGCTTGCATCAAGGCTCCTTGCAAGTTTTGTCAAAAAGTACTTTTGTATCGCGTCGAGGGGACATTTTAAGGTTAACGGTATATATTAACCTAGGTTAACGGTATATATTAACGGTAACTATGCGCAAATTTTTGAGTTAAATTTTAAAATATACCCATCATTCGCCTGTCCACTTCTTGTTCTTCTGGGTGACTCCTTTCTCTTTGGTCCTTTCCTGTTATTGATGGACTCTTCAGGCCCTGTAGCTTTTGGATCATCCGCATCACCCACTGCATCCAATACCTAAAAATGAAAAGTTGAAGGATATTGCTGCTTCATTCTTTGGCATGCTTCAAAGTATGTTGATTGTTTATTAAAAGCCAACCGTATTTGTAGAAGCTTGCACGAGAGTTTGCGACTTCACATCTTCAACATTTCTTGTCAAATTCAGCACAGTATTGTTTGGCTCTTGTGGTTTTTCTTCGTATGATGTAGATGCATCCCTAAAATAACATTTTTAATACAATGTATTCACAACGATTCTACTGAATAGCCTAAATCAGCTTACACTGTTTCAGAAACTTTCTTCAACGCAAATTTTTCAGTCTTCGGAAGCTGGTCATTCAACTGTTCGATTACCTCACGAATCCGCCCGAAATCACTAAAAAGAGGAAAATTATTACCTAAAAAGAAGCGCCCGATTAAAATTTCATAGCAACAAATCATAACCCTCGAGCCGTTGCGATCACTTTGCCTATCAATGTGTCCAACGATTCCTCGATTTGTGGTGGTTCAATCACTTTGGCACTCAATTTTGACGGTTCATCCACATCCATCAATGTTGACGATCCAGAAGTTGATAACAAGTTGGAATTCTAAAACATTTCTAGCATTGATCTTGTAGAAGTCTCCCACCTCAGCTATTGTGTTTCGCTTTGTGGTATTATCTTCAGTCCGAAAATCGGCACGTGATCGTTTGATTTTGTCGATCGTATCCAAACAAGTACGAGTACCCTAAAACAACTTTTATAAACGATAAAACACCTTGATCTTTTAAAAGCGATTTACTGGTCAACTTTGAATCCAATTCGAATGCCAAAAACTCACATTGGTGATTGGTGAAATCGAATCGCCCCGAACGAGAGATTCTTGTGGTGGGCTTTCGGGAGCTCTTCGATTAACAGCATCCTAAAGAAAAGTATGAATGACCGCTAAAGCCATTAAAAGATGAAACTTGTTTGTTTGAGATTTTTAAAAGCCTTTTATTATGGAAAATTATTTATGAAAAACGCTGAGTTCAGGCTGGCCAAGTTTATACAAGCTAAGGGTATTTTGGGACTACCAAAATGGACTTCCCACCTGGCATGGCTATTAATCGGGGAAACTTTAAACCCTTATGGTGCATTAATAGAATATGGCCCCGGGGCAAACATTCTTGTTCCATCAACTACAGAGAACTCTACGTTCAAAGCTCACTAAATCCCCCTTTATATTCATTAAATTTGACTTCGACCCCCAGCGGGGCTTTAAATTTTGCTAACTGACAAACATACCTACGAGAATATGCATAAAATGTATTTTGTGGGTGAAGCACAGAAGGGCGCAATGAAATAAGGCTTTCGGAGTGAAACACAAAATGTTATTCTCTGTATTTCTTTAAAATTTATACTTCGTCACTAGGTGACACCGAGTAGTTTCTATTCCTCCGACGTTTCCGCTCGCGTTCTTTGTATCGTCGCACAATATCGGTGTCAGCGCGGGAAAGCCCCATGTGATCATAGTTCTCCCCTTCGGCAATCGATGAATGCTCCCTTTCCCGTGAACCTAAACTTTAGATTAGCCATGTTTAAGGTAAGGTCTTACAATTTGACTAAAACATTTAGAGACCTTACACCATTTAGAGACCTTATACCAACGTTGTACTAGAGTTGACTTGACCGGTTAACAAAACTCTTCCAGTAACAGATAGCCTGGAGTTTTTCTATCACATTCTTACTCAAATACAGCTGACAAATGCTCGACTACAGATATAACAACACAACTACTAGTTAAAGACTTCAAATGCCTTACTTTCTCTTCGATTTCCTCTTCCTTGTTTGATGTGTGGGTGTCGCAGAGGCGTTTTTATGCGGCGAACGTGATGATCCTTGCATTTGAGAGTCGTTTCGTTGCGCCAAAAGCTCGTTGGCCCTCTCCAAAATCTCGTTGACCCTCTGCTGACCCTCATCATCCGAAGAGAGTACAATTTCCTCATTGGGCACCGCTCGACCCGAGTCAGAAAAAAGCTCGACTCTTTGCGTAGTCGTTGAAGGTCGAGTTATACCTGATGTACTCGGCAACATCGATGAATTATCAGCAAGCATATTCTAAACCCTTAACATTACCCGTAACTTCGTCAAAATACACCTGTAAAACTTCTGCCAAATTTTGAGGAGCTTCTCGAGATTTATTAAGCAAGATCCCAAAGCGATCATAGGCGGGTACTTGTAGAAGCGGATGCTGCGTTTGAATTCGGATACCCTAAACAAGACAGATTATGAGAGTATGTAACTGAATATGGCTTATGCGTTCTTCAGAATAAAGATCTTTGGTTAACTCATTAGAATTAGCTAGAATCAGTTACTTTCTAAAGTCAAACTTCAAGTTCAAGGGTTCATGCTATGTAATTTTGTGATGCCAAACTTAATTGTCTCTCATTTACTAACAAACATCTGTTTGGTGAAAGAAGAATTAGAAGGGTAATCACTGTATTATTTGAGTACTATTGGCATGCGTATTCAGTAAAACCCGGATGACTAACTTTGTTAAGAAGATCAATGGTACTTTTTGCGATCCCGGCATAATATGCCGTTTTTCAAGAACCGTCATATCCTTGGTACCTCAGTGTTCGCCGTAGAGATAGGAGTAGGCATAGGGATTCGGCGAAACATGTAGATATCGGCGCCTTCCTCTTTCTCGGAGTCCATGTGTCCCGGTTGAAAGCGTTGAGCCCAAAATGAGTGCTATTAGTTGGACTGATGGGCTCGAGACTTTGTGAGTTCGGTACTTATACATTACATGACCGATTTCCCCAAAATTAGCCCAAATCCAGCCACTTACTTGTTGTTGCCTAATCAAATAGTTCGAGTACTCGGTTGATCGATTTGGTCGTCCCTCGTCCACAATCTGTACATCGTTATCGATCGGGACGTAATCTAAAACAAATATTTGCGCGATTTGAATGCCAAAAACTAACCATCAATTTGAATAACTTCTTGCTGACCTCGAGCTGCATTTTGAGAAGATTCACGGCTTCTAAAAGCAATATTAGAAAAGATCACCACAATACGTGCAAACCTATAGCGACTATTCTGGAGAAACGTGTTCATCGAGTATTGTGAAGAGGCGAAATCGAAGAACTCGTTGCAAAACGTATCCAAATACTCGCGCGATTCCCGAAAAGTTAGGCGACAAGCTTTCTAAATTTCGTTGTAAGCATTTTACCTTTTATTTCATTTGGATTTTTTTGTAATCTGACAAAAATCAAGATCTTTCAAAGCTCACTTCAAATTCGGGAGCATGAATGTATCCTTGTTGTGTGGCTTGCAAAATGTACTCAATTTTTCCCTCAAAATTGTCAATTTGGTCGACTGGCTAAAAGTTAAACGGTAAAAAGTACACTACGGCAAATAACAAACCCGATTCAGAAAAATCGGTATCTCTTTGCGTAGCCAATTCCGTAGCAGGTGAGGGTCAGCGGCGAGCTTTTCTCGAGCCATCTAAACAAGAAAGTTATGATACCTTGACCCCAAAGGACTCTTGATTTTATTAGACATAATGGCGTTAAAATCAGAAATCTTTCGTGCTAAGCAAACCTGTGGAGTAAAGCTCCGTCTTTGCTCGTTTTCAAATAAGTCCTCGCGTTTCAAATGATGGTCATAGACCATCCGACGGAAATATGGATTTTTATTAAGTTCCAGCCTGAAATAATTGCATTTTCACGTGTTAAATTCCACTTCTCACCTAGTAATAGACCCATTCACGCACGCTTCCTCAAGGCTTTTCGACATGTTGATGGCTTGTACTAACTAATACGAGAAACTAATATTAATGTCATTAAAACAACCCTTTGTCTATTTTTCTCCCTCTCTTTGAATATTTTTTCATCTCGTCGAGATATTTTTCGCAGCTTTTTTCTTTCACTAAGGTACGAATTGATAAGCCCATCAGGAAACCAACTTTTCCATAGCTTGATCATTTGTGTTGAGCCTTGTGTTTAGATAACGGTAGTATTTGTGAAGCAGTTGTTTTTCCACATCAAGAGGCACTTTCTAAAAAGTAACTACATTACAATTTTTGTTGTCAAATTCACCTCGGACTCCTCTTTAATCTTTTCTTTTAGAAATTCCTTTTTCAGCTCGGTAAGGTGTTCACTAAAGTAAATTGTACTATGATAGCATTGTGTCAAACAAACTCACATTATGCCATCTCCGCTGTTCTGCGAGAGTCGGTGGCGAATGAAAGTTGACGGAGTCCCACAAAGAGGGCAGTTCGGATTATTCTTGTACCATCTAAAGTCAGTTTTTACATCATCAAGCTATAAATGACCTTCGCAAACAGATGAAGCAAAACTTGTGCCCCGGATTGTTCCCACAGCCTCCGGGAATCGAGGGATCAGCGATCTCACTAAAAACTCAAATTTAAACATGTCAACAGAGTTCATTAAAAAGCTGGCGCTATAGTATTTGGGGGGAGGCAAAAATTTTTTTCGCCAAATGAGCTGGATTTTTGCACCCAGGGGTTTTTGACCATGCTGAATCGATTCAGGATAGTCAAAAACCCCTGGGTGCAAAAATCAGATCATTTGGCAAAAAAATCTTTTCCCGAACTACTATAGCCAAAAAAGCTAGCTTTACTAGACCCTTTACGTTATGTCAAAAGAAGACAAGATTCAATATAATTCCATACGTTAACTGTACGAAAATCACTGTTTTAACTAAAGTATCTTTCCAAAAACCTTTTTACACGCAGAGACAAATATTTGAGACAAAATCCTAGCTTCGCTAAAAACTCTTCAAATATCAAGCAAAAACCTCACAAAGTTAGACAAATCGGGCACTTGTCCCTCGTTTCACTCTCGTGGCCATTCTCCGACATCTAAAAATCAAATTAAAGATTGAAAAAAACATAAAAAGCTGAATTCATGACATTCATTCATGATAACACAAGATTGAAAGCTGAATTCATGACATTCATTCATGACAACACAAGATTGAAAGCTGAATTCATGACATTCATTCATGACAACACAAGATTGAAAGCTGAATTCATGACATTCATTCATGACAACACAAGATTGTTTGGGTTTTTGCTCAAAAATGAATAACGAAATTTTTCACTTTACTTGTATTTCTCGAAGCTACGCGTGACGCCAATGGCAAAAGGGATTTCCGCGCGTAATCGCTGAGAAAAACGTTTTCAAAACGGGTCGAGCCTTGTTCTTGAGGTGATTCTCGGGTTTAGAAGATCTTTTTACCGCACAAACTCTTCAGAAAGAACACATTGTAAAATTTTAAACGATCAATTCTAGCTTAGCTTATACTTCAACAGATGCGCAAAAGATTTTTGCTATCGATAGGTATTTTGAACTTCCAGAACTTCCTATTAGTTTTTGAGAAAGGGACTAAAAAATGAAAATCGAGAGGGGACACTCGAAAAATATACTGGGACTTAACTCCACTGAAATTCAAATTTTCGCTTGTTTAACTGAATATCTATTGAACGATCAACTCTATATAAGATTAAAAGAGCTGAGAAAAATCATTTGTGTCGTTTGTCATTTTCAGCTCTTTCAGTTCTGTATTTTTTTCGTTTTCTTGTTTCTTTTCAGCCTTAAACTATTGAATATAATGTATTTTTTAGAAAATGCGTCGTGGACGAAAAGAGGACGATGATCCATTTCCCGAGGCGCGCGAGATGAACATCAACCAAACCGCTTTTGAGTCGTTGCCCTACCCAGATGGCTCACTGAAACCTATCGAATTCACGCAGTTCCTATGGGTTTTTTAATAACTTGCTATTTGAATTGTTAAAAGGTTCAATAACGTGATTGTAAAGGTTGTTTTTGATAAATTCAAAATGTCCACGTATTGAAACCTTTTAAAGTCTTTAATCAAGTTGTTATAAAGTCAAAAAGAGCTGTTGGGCCGGTTGGCTGACAAGTGTCACTGGTACTCAATCATAGTTGTTACTAGCTCATGAAAATTATTACTAACCCAAGCCTAATAGCTAATTCAGTGGTAAAAAGACAAGCTAAACATTTCATTATTTAGGACCTTCAACCACGTTTTCATGGAAGCCGGCCCGAAGCTCAACGTTCTGATTGGACCGAACGGCTCCGGAAAAAGCAGCATCATTTGTGGAATCTGTTTGGCGATGGGCGGCCGTCCAGAGGTGTGTTAAATGAAAGTTTTTGCATGTGCCATAGCTTAAGTTGGCAGATAGCTAAACAAAACTTGACTACTGGGTGAAAACGTTCCTGTTTAGCTTCTCGGCCGCTCCGGGCGCTTTGCCGACTACATCAAACACAATGCGAGCCGGGGCTTCGTGGAAGTTACAGTGTAAATTGCCTTTCGCGTTCAGACTTCAACGGATTTCTTTAGCTCTGACAAGTCAAGGCCCTTGGAGTGACTCGGTTTCGTACCGTTATCGATCGAAGTACTGAAAAGGGAAAGGTTGAGTACTTTATCGACGGAAAGCAAGCGACTCGTACAGCCGTTGCTCAGGCATTACAATATTCAGGTATGATCAAATACTCATAATACGCATAACGATGTTCGCTATTCAGATTGAGAATCCGTGCACATTCCTCGCTCAGGACAAAGTGAAAAGCTTCGCCGCACAGGATCCAAAAGAATTGCTCATCAATACACAAAAGGTTTGTGGGCATTCAACTTTAAGAGCTAACATTTATCAATTGTAGGCTGGTGATTTGACACTTTTGCGGATGCACGATGGGTTGAGAGAGAAAGCACGCGAGAAAGATTTAAAGCTCGGTGTTCAGGAATATCAAAGTGCTTTGGAGGTGTGTTTCTTAGCTTCTTAACTAACGTGTATTTTTGATTTATTTAGCATCAAAATGAGATCGTCGCACCGCCAAAGGTCGAGTCGTACAAGAAACAGGAGTCGATGGTGGGACGCATCCAAGTGTTGCGGAGAAAGGCCGCAATTTTGGTAAGTATGGAGTGTTTAAGCCAATTTAATCATTCATCTAGGCTTTCACAAAAGCGGAAGAAAAGTACAGAAAGGCGGCTCAGGGAGTAAACGAACTGAAGGAGAAAGTTGCCGAAGTCATTAATCAAGATTAACAAGTAACAAGATTAATCCAAACTCTGATTGTTTCCACAAAAATTTTATCTATCTTTTAGACCCACAAAAAGGAAGAGAAGAAGTTGGAAAAAAGTTATGGCGAGTGCAAGGAGAGGCGTCGTGAACACGTAATGATCCTAGCCCTTATCCAATAATTTTCAAATTTAGGAACAACAAATACGAGAGTCAACGCAGAAGATGGAGGAGAAAGAGGACCCGCGTTGGTACAATATACAAGTTGGAGTATCTTGCATTTTTTTTGTATTGAAAGTTTAGATGAGGGACATCACCGACAAGCTGAACCAAGAGAAGGGACGATTGAGAAGCTGGGAGCAGAAGTGTGTTTTTGTGATTGCTTTTTTAGGATAGCGTTTTGAATGAGTTAAAGAATCTACTTTTTCCATTTTAGTTTGAACCAGATGCAAGCCGCGGTTACAAATGCTAAAGAAGCGCTGGAGAGTGCGCAGAGTGAACGAGACGTTTTGAAGGTTTGTTTGCTGGTGAAGATTGAACCGGAGTTGAAGTTTATAATAAAGTACTTACACTTCCAATCACCCTGCACTCTAATTTAGCCTTGTGAAGCTGAAGTTCGACAAAAGCAGCAGGATCTCCAGTGACTTTTTGCCGATATTGGAAGTCCTGAACAACAATTGAAGAACGCGATCTTCGAATCCAATGCACAAAGACGAAGTGAGCGGTTCTCAATTTCAAGAACTAAAGACCTTAAAATAGACAGACGTTAGACACTAGTTCCAAAGCTATGTCATTAAACCCATTAAATATACTACGTTTAGAAGCCGGTGAGGTACAGGAAAGGAACGAGAATTTGTTACGCGAACGGCTCAACCAGTTGCCCAACATCGGACAAGCTCGTGATGCTTACATGTCTGTTCATGGTTTTTATTTTGCTTTATAAGGTAGTTTAGGTACTACAAATACGAGAGTCAAGGAATTCAGACGTCCGATTTATGTGCCAATGATTGATGTAAGTTAGTTTCTTAGTAAACGTTAGTCGAACAAGTTTTTCAGATTAAAATTCGTGCCGGGGACAACGAGTTGACGCTATTGTCGAACGTGTTGCAGGCTCGTGATGGAACTACATTCATCTTCGGATGCAAAGATGATGAATTGAAGCTCACCGAACGTTTTTCCAAAATCAACACTACTGTCGTGGATAACGCAATGGTAAGTGTTAACTTTCTAGATACCGTATTCTCTGCGATAGAATGTCTCTTATAAATAGCAAGTAGCCGTCCATTATTTTCAGTTAGACCGTGTGCCTTCAAAGCTGACCGAATTCGAGATCCCGAAGAGGCGCGTCAAATCGGAATTCTCGGCACAATGTTGGACGTGATTGAGTGTAACAATGTGATTCGCGTCTTCTTAGCTCAGGGTTGCTCGGTGAGGTTTTGTGAAAACGTTATCGAATATGTTGGTGTCAATGAAAAACTAAAAACAAGTATCATAACTTGATACTTGTTTTTAGTATCATAACATATACTTAAGTCTCAAGTTATGATACTTGAAACAAGTATCATAACTTGAGACTTAAGTATAGAAAGTCTTGCAGCCATTCTAATCCGTCTAGAAGCTAAAAAGATCTTAGTAAATCAATACAGAGGCAGAATTTTTGACTAGATTCCAAGATAGTTTTAACCCTGAATCGACAAGATATGTGAGATTGTTAGTTAACCTCTAAACGAACTCCAAGTTTTCATCTCAACATCAAAATCACTCAATTAGAGTTTTCTTGTAGTAATGATGTTTGGGGTAAAGTTTTGCAGGCTTTAAGTCACTATTGCTAAATATTTTCCCACTTCAGATCAAACAAGCGACCGCCCGTGTCTCACCGCCGATCAGGAGGCTCTTGAGGATGCACAGATGAAAATCATTGGCCTCGTGCCATCCAACTAGACTTAAAACTAAATTAATAAATTTTGTGATAAGTTGCGTCAGAACATTTCCACTAAAGTTACCAAAAATATGCTTCAAAGACCAAATCTGTTTACTAAAATACGTTTCAATGATGACTCAAAGCTTTTAAAAAATTCTCCAAATGATTGACTGGGGATAAAGTTGACCGTGAACTCGGCAAAAACCCAATCGAGTGCGGCACAAAACGATTTGTGCGCGCAATCGACCGAGACCAATTATCCGCCAGACATTGTACTATGTTTATACAAAAAACAAAGTTCAAGACAAGCCGTTTTTAAGCGATTAATTCAATTCATAACTAAACTTTTGCAAAAAAAATAAATCTTAATAAATCAATAAAGCTTTGTTTTCGTCTACATATTCCATCATAAACACCTAGCAAATTGGGGTGAATCAGGAGTTAACTGTCCCAGGAACCAGTTTTGACCCCGATCCAATTGAGGGAATAAAGTGGGGTATGAAATCACTCTTCTCGGCAATACCGAGAATCAGATCACAACTTTGTTCAATCTGAAAAAATGAAATCTCTATTTGTGATTGCACTTCTTTTGCCAATCGTTGCCGCTCAAGCCCCGACGGAACCCGAGATCACCGAGGAGGCCAAGCAGAAAATCGCTCAGGTGCTCTGTTGAATACTTTTTGGCGTACTAGAACTTTGTAGTGTTTTAGAAGTGTATAACAACTTTAAATTTAAATTTCTTCCTAAATGTGAAAACATTTAGGAAGAAAACGCGTTGAGTCCCGAGAAAACTTTCGTCAACCGAGTCAAGGAGGCCTTCGAGAAAAACAAGGGCGAGAATAGTGCGCTGAACAAGGAGCAAGTCGAAGCAGAGGTAAGCTTAACAATCTTACAGTATTCATTGAGATTACGGCAGCTTAAATAAATCATTGTAGGTTGATCAAATCCGAAGTCTCGAGAGCAACCCTCGCGAACTCGAGAGCAACCCGGAGTTTGAAATCGCGGAGTTTGAAAAGGACATGAGCAGCGCGTTGGAAGCCGACCCGAACATGGGCGAGACACTTAAGCAAGCGAGAGAGATGGCTGAGGTAAACTTTCAGAAAAGTATATTTTTTGAGGTTTACGTATACAAAACCATATCTTTAAAACCTAAACCAGGAATAGATTACAAGAGATTTAATTAGCAGAGCTCAATTTAGAAAACCGTTAACCGTCGCAAGCGACAGGACACCACTCAGCAACACCACGAATTCAAGAAGCCAACCGACGCTCAGATGGCCGCCATCAATCAGGTTTTAAATGAAGGAAAGTTGGATTTCAAAAGGTACTAGGAAATAGCTCAACTTCAACAAACGAACCCGGAAGTGGCAAGCTGGCCACTGAGGCGCAACGACACGATGACACCGAAGGAGAAGATGGGAAAGTTAGTGGAGTGGATTCCTTTAAAATGAGCTTTAAAATGATCTATGAAACAAAATCTGCCCTAACTCTTACGAACTACTCAATACCGACGCCTCCGTTAAAACCGCCCTGCACGACTTCAAGGAAAAAGTCAAGTCGATCATCCACGGAACGGCCAACCAATGAGCTACAATAGGATGATGATTTCTTATTGTGTTTTGCATTTTACGATAAACTGAATAACTTTTTGTGCGTCTCACTCACTTGTCAACCGCTTCGCCGAGCTTTGCCTCGTATTCCTTGAAAGTCTCCGTGGCGGTCGCCTTCCTCAGCTCGTTTTGGGCCATTTGTCGCTTCAATTGCTCGAGACGTGTGAGGTCCTGAAAGAAAGCAAGTAGATAATCACAATTAACAAACATACATGAATTGTCCCTACGCCGCCACCCTGAATAAGTTGAATTTGCGTCTCCTCGTCAACGACCAAACGCTCAACTTCATCAGCATCTTTCGGGATTTTGTATTCTTCGAAGTCCTGAAACAACTTGCTAAAGTGTGGTTCCTCAAATTTATTATGGTCTTAATAGTATCAGTACTGCCTAACTAAAAATAAATTGGGTAAGCAAACCCGCTCTATTTCCTTCAGATGCAGTAGCTCCGCCTTGCTCAACTTATTTTTCGTTAGCGTCTCCAGTTTGAGTAATTTCAGTAAAAAGTATAGAATTTCACTCACCAGTATATGCCTTTGATCAGCTGAAGCTTGATTGTTGATTGTGTCCCGGATCTGCTGACATGCGGATTGAGCGGTAGTTGGTAGTGAAGAGCAAATCTAAAGGGTTACAAATTCGACTTGTTTTGGAACCAAGTCTACTTTGTCAATCTTTGCCAATGTGGCCGCATCGATTCGGCAGTTGTGGCCGTCGTTGTCACCGTGACGTCGGCTCGTTTGGCTTTGCGAACAACCTAGGATAGAAATTGGAAAGTTTGGTCAAAGTAAAAGTCTTTTGTTTGGAACGGTCTTCTGCCTAATAACAACTTGAAATGGTTGTTAAAGCAGATTCACTTACTGTAACCTTAATTGCCCTAAAACTTGCAAGTTCTCCAAGCGGAACGGTCAGCAAAGCGCCGATGCAAAAGCACGAGAGAATAAAAATCGATTGCATCGCTTCAAATAAAATCCAAACACCGACCCGACTAATTCAATAAATCAACATTCAACAAACACCGACCCGACTAATTCAATTCAATAAACTGTTGAGCTGCGGACTGGTTATATTTGCGCGGGATTAAGCTCCCGTGTTGCCCATCGCTCGCAAATTATTTCTTTTTGGAGAGCTTGTTGGGCTTTGGTGAAAGGTTTATGCTCGAAAATTGGCCAACGATTTCTGTACATTTTGAATCAATTGATTCAAAAATCTATGTTTTAACCAAATGCTTAGGGAATGTTTCTGTTCCCTCAAATGTGTCCTTTTTTCAGACTACCGTAAACCTTGTCTCTACTTTACCCAATCTATCTACTTGTCTGCTTCTGCGATGGTTCACGAAGGAAATCAAAAGATATAAAACCAGACAAATTGGATAAAAATAGAGTACAGTAGAAAGAAACACGTTTTCAAATTACTGATCATTGGTTCCAATTTTTTGTTTCAGATGGTGCGAGCCTTTGGAGGAACTGGTGAAAAAAATCTCTAAGAACTTCACGGAATTCTTCGCGCGCATGGATTGGCGCGGCGAGGTGTTACTAGAAAAGCCGGAGAATAAAGTAAGCTTTGAGTAAAATCTTAATTCTAAAATTTTTCTTTTTAGTTGGACATTGACAAGTACGGCATCGCAATTCATGTGGCATTCCGGGAAACTGAGCGACTTCGGCGTTTAGATGATAAGGTAAATTTTGAGTGAATTAGTAAAAATGGTGTGATTAAAAATTAGATAAATTCGAGCGCAAAAAGTTCTATTTAGACTCAATCCGGTGGTGAGCGCTCAGTAGCGACGATGCTTTATCTACTCTCGTTGCAAGAACTCTGTCCGGTGCCTTTTCGCTGCGTGGATGAGATTAATCAAGGTGGGTTTGAGTGGTTTAAGGCTCAAAACTGTTCCAAATTCGTAATTCTTCTTTCAGGAATGGATCCAAGAAACGAGCGCAAAGTCTTCTCGCTGATCGTCGACACACTGGCCAGCGAAAGTCGTAATTTGGCAAAAATACAATATTTCTTGTGAGTTTTTGGGTTGTTTAAAGTTAAGTGAGATCAGGATATGATATATTTCTTTCAGATTGACTCCTAAACTCTTGCGTGGGCTGAAATATGGTGAGAAGGTGGCCGTGCATCTCGTCCACAACAGCCCAACATTGCCACGCGATATCATGGTTGGTTTGAGTTTGATGTTAGTGTTAAAATGAAATAGGATGATGCGGAAATAAGACTTAACTGCAAACCGTAACTTTTTACCAAAACATCATTTTTATCTACATAGCTACAATAGCTATAAGTGTTTTCCTAGCCTTATTTCACTTCTTCATTTTAGGAATGGGAACATTCGGCCTTTATCCCGATCATGCCACTACTTCAGTCAACAGAATAAGTGATTATTTTTGTTGTTCAATCGTTGCACATTTTGTCTGAAACATTGTTGAAATTTTCCTGATTTCCTGATTTGTTTGTTTTTGATATCATCAGATACGTGTTTCGCTAGGGGTTTCTCTCCGGTTTGTTATTTCCTTGAATTGTTTTTGGTAAATTTACGTTTGATATCATATAGTTTTTCTAGAATATTTCGTCTGTTGTTGTTTTGATTCGACATTTTGAATTTATTTGTTTCAGATAAATCGGTTTAGTTTCAAAATTGGCGTGAAATCCAATGCAAAGCTCAACTTTTATTGAGGGAACCCGTGTGGAAGAAGTGTACAAATTGAAAAAAAGGAAATTGAGCATAGTGAGGGCTTACTATCCAGTAGTACATAGTACAAATTTGAAGGTTGGATTTGCTAAAGAATAGTGTTAAATGCATTCTTTGGCTCTAGCAAAGCGCTTTCTAAAAGAGGACCCACAGAAGCGCCAGAACTTCAGGCCAGTTAGAATTAGACCACAAGTCAGATCCGGGCCAGGTAGTTTTAGGACAGGCAGATTAGGCTACGACTAGGGTAGGTCTAACCTGAATACGGTAGTTTTTTAAGTGGGCGGACAAAGCCATCTAAAGAAGGTTTAAGTTTCAGTTTAGGAATGGTAAAAGACTACGACGGTATTTTTATAAGGGCACTGTTTAGGAAAGACTTCAACCAAAGAAAAAACTAAAAAACTAATCTACTCATTTGCCGAATCCACATCGAATTGCGACTCACGGCCACTTTTCGATACGTTTTATGCCTCCAACGGCCTTTGACCACTCTCGTCCATCGTACGATATTCTGGGTGCAGTATAGGGAAATGAAACAAAAGATCAAGAGCAAAAGGATTACGTAACCGATAGAAGGACAAAGGTGCTTTTTGCAATTCGGCTGATTTGCGTGGAAGTGCGGACTTTTGGAGTGACAATCGTTGATGTTGCTGTCAGAACTGAGCTCTGCTGATAGACATCGACTGACTGCAAACCGGCGTGCAGGAGGAATGAGAGGAGGTGTTGGTGAGAGCGGAGCAAAGAGTAAATTGAGTAAAGAATTGATATGGAACCATACCAGTCCAATTCCAATTCCAAGAAATATCTTGGAATTGTTCAAGAGTAAGCAAAAGATCAAGAGCAAAAGGAATATCTTGTAATTGATATGTCTAAAATGCCTTAGTTGAATGCTTCCTCTTCCACCTGTCCTCCCTTTTTGAGTCTAATTGAAATGTAGTAAATTTTCATATAGAGAATTAAATATAAAATTCCGTTTCCGTAAAGGGAAATGTGACTCATAATGAGTGTCACCCATTTGCAATAATCCGCCCTTTCTTTTTCGAAAAATTTCCACATAAAAACGCCAGGTGCACTCGGCTCTCTTTTGTGGCTTTTGTGGCTCATTTCTTTCTCGAGATTCAGTCATTCATTCATTCATTCCACTCAACAATGACAATCCCGGTTTTGACAGTTTTCACTTCAATTTCACTCAATTTCAATCACTAGAGAAGGGGAAATTTCAATAGAAATTTGAATATGAATACTTTGAAAAACAACTTGACTCTTTAGTCTTTTTGCGGAAGAAGTGAGTGCGCCAGAAAGGGGATGTTTGCAAGCTTTGAGAGCACTGGCGATTGGCTACTGATTCAATGAAAAATTGAGAAAAATCTCCAAGAATCATTGGGAATCAAATCAAGCTGATCGCTTCTGGATCAGTCCCTTTACTGCAAGGAATTTGTAGGGAAAAGACTTTACCATGTGAGAGAGGTTTGTGTTTTGTTTTTGATCTTTCTCAAATCTCTCTCAAATGCAAGGGCTTGTCGAGAGCGCTCAAGACAAAGATGTGGTGGTGGTCGGTGGATCGTTTATTGGTGAGTTGAGTAAGAAGCTTTTTGCCTTGATCATAAATCCTTGACATTCTATCACAATATCTCTAGAAACTATCACCTTTAGAAGACAAATTGCCGTTCCGATTCTTCAGCCAAAGCACTCGAATCTCCGTGTTTTTCTTCTCGCACCCCCAATGACCGATCAGAATTTGCGAGTAAGCGATTGGCAGCGATAAAGCGCAAGAGACAGATGAGGCGCATTCCTATAATGAGGAAAGTAAATGAGATAAAAAAAATACCATTTAATTACGGTGGTTACTTACCCAGTTGGCCTTCCCTTGGAAATCTAGTAGAAAGATTCAAATCCCAAATCAAAATATGCCAAATAAGCTTAAATTGAAATTTAGAAGATAAGCTTTAAAGGGCGCTTTTCAATTGCTAAAATATGGCCAGAGTTGGGCTAGTGGATAGTGGTCGTGGTTCGTTCTCGCTCTTGTTTTCGGTTTTGTATTTCTTTCAATGTAATGCTTTACAAATTTTTACATTGCTTATTGTGCTGTAAATCGTTTTTAGAACAAAAATGCACGAATTTTGCTTTTATCAGATGTTCGCATTGTGTTCGCAAATTTTTGATTGTTTTGGATGCTTCGTGATTTTATTTCATAGAAATTAACGTCTAAACCATCACCTTTTGCTTTGTTAGATTGAATAGTTATAAAGTAAAATATTACATTTAAAGAAAAAGAGACAAAAAAACCAAGTGCGGGATCGAACCTCATTCCTATTACCGAAAGTCGACACACTATCCACTCGGCCATCGGTGCCTATGCCGCAATCATTGAAAAGCGCCCTTTAAAGCTTCAATTCAATTTTCTTTAATTTCTTAAAGCTTCGAAATTTCAATTCAAGCTTATTTGCCAGATTTTGATTTCAGATTCTGAATCTTTAGACTCGATTTAGTAAGATGTGCCGAAAGCGAAAGCGGAGACGAAAGCTCACGAGAAAGCAAGAAGTTCGTGCCTTTCCCTAGTCAGTCAACCAGTCCGGAGACGCATGTCTAGTAAACAGTAATTCTCGAAATCGAAACACAAATCAATTAACCCTAACCAGTAATCCGGTAATTACAATACATTGTCGTACACAAGTGGTCAATAATTACAGCACTTGAGGCTCAAAAACTCAATAAAAATGTGATAAAGATAAGAATTTGTGAGTCTTAAATTCAGCGGGTTCAGTCATCGAAAAACTAGACTAATAGTAATAGGGTCATAAAGGCCCCCTTTCTGGCATACTGCATGAGGACTAAGATGAAATAAGAATAGACAAGAGAAGTACTAAAGAAGAAAATACACACGTAAGTGCCACTAGCTTTGCCACTGCTGCTGGATGATTAGGCAAGTTGAAATTTGTTCTTTTAATCTACATATGCTTCGAGTTTCATTTCCTGAGCGTACCTTGGACTTACAAAAAGTGCGAACGCACCATTTCGGACCAAGAGCAACTGGCCTCATGCAACCATCCAGCCGACTCGCGTTCACTTTCGAGCACTCGTCAAGACCCAATCTGAAACTAATGTTTCAAAGTTATTGAAAACCTCAAAAGTTCTTGTAAAATAATTGTGAAATAAAAATTCCAGATTTCACTTTTTATTCAGCTACCATATCCACTCGAGTCCGGTGATCTCCTCGAATTGTTCCCAACCTCGTTAATATTAGCTTTTTAGAGGTTTTTAAGATGCGAAGAAAGGTGCGCTAATGGGCAAGGTGCGCAAAAAAAGGTGCGCAAATGTCCGGGTGCGCAAAAAAAGATTGCATTTGTCCCACTCCCGTATCTCAAAAGCGAACTCAACCTGCAGTTTTTT